GGCACACTACGAAGACTTTGATACCCTGCGAGGCTTCCAGCTTTCAGTATATTTCAGTGTCAGTGTCAGTGTCAGGAAACTCTTTGTGCACTTTGATCCCAGTCAAGGCAAAGGGAGCTTAGTTTATTTGAGCTCTCAGTCAGCTGATGAAGCAAGCAGCATCCCAGATCAGATCTTGTCACATGTCTGTGTTCCTTCGCTGTAACAAAACATTTCCCACCCAAGCCTATGGTCAGGTTTGCTTTTAATGAACAGGAAGGAGGATTTCACACTCCTTCTCAGGAACTTAAAGGAAGCTACCACTGCTTCCTGGCAGGTCCTGTCCAAACAGTCCCCATTACTAGTGTCCACATAGGTTCTTTACAAAATTGACTTGTCCACGGATTCACAGAGTGACCAGAGGACAACTGTCTGCCTGGAGGATACAGACAAGGCTTAGAGCAAAGTCCAGGATCCATGAGCATGCACATGAGGCCAGTGTAGCATGGTATGAACCCAGAGTTAGGGAGGAAAGGGTTAGAGGCTCAGGCTAGGGGATCAGCAACGCACTCCCCGCTACTCTGTGCAACTCCAGGGAGTCTGAAAGTTCTAAATCTGAACCTGGTCTTCTGGCTCATTCAGGATGTTGTGTTTGTACAGGAAAGGAGGATAGATTGCATTTAACTCTAAGTGCTTAACTCGATTTAAAATGTTTGTGATTTTAGATATATAGTATATGAACCTCCAGTTATACTATGGCCCTGCACCCCGAAACGTTCAGAGCAGTTACGATGGTCAGAGATGAACTTTTTGATGCTCAGATTGTATCAGGATCCTTCTGGACTTTTTGAAAAATGAAAGCAGAGAAAGGAACTGCTGCCCCCTGGTGGGAATCCTTGGTAATGGCAGTAGAAAAAAGCTCAGGCAAGGATTTGTCAAAACAAGGTAACTAGGTAACCGTTACTTGTGTCTTGTGTTCTGGTTGCTGATTGTTTTTTTGTAACTATCTCACGATCATTTGAAAAAGTGCATTTTTCTTACAGGGCTTATGTTTGCCTATTATTCTTCAAATCCTCTGTACACACACACGTTTTTATTTACTTGAGAGAGACAGAGAGGAGTGTTAAAGTTTCTTCTCTATAATTTTGGTTTGTTTATTTTTCTTCATACTTCCATTTATTTCACCTTTATTTATTTTTTCTATTTTCCAAAGTTTTCGTTAGTGTATACTGGTTATCCACATTTATAGGTTTCATTGGAGCAGATTCATACATGCACATAACGCTTTTGAATTATTTCTCCTCCACGATTTCCTTGCCTCATGTGTATATTATATTTTGATCATATGCATGCCCTTTATTAACTACCCTTACACTGTTAGTTTGGAAAGAGATTTCACTGAACAGAGAATTCTATGTGGGCAGTTCTTTACTTCAATACTTTAAAGGTGTTATATTACTATCTTCCCACACTATTTCCTATAAAAATAGGCTTTTATATTCATAGGAGCAACTGTTCCTCTGGACATGTATATGTTATATAATATGCTGTCATATAACATATATATATATATTACTTTTAAGAGTTCTCATTACCCTTGGATTTGAGCAATTTGTTATTTCTTTAGTGTATTTTTCTTTATGTGCTCATTGACCTTCGATCTGTGAACTTCTGGTTTTTATCAAACCTAGAGAGATATTGGCTATTATTTCTTTAAATATTTTTCCTATTTCCCCCCATATACTCCAGGAATTCCAAGCACGGATATACTATTTTACCTAAAGTTGTTCAACTGCTCACTTTTTAAAAAATCCTTTCTTTGTTTCATTTTGGATAGTTTCTGTTGCTGTCTTCAAATTCACTGATCTTCTTCAGCATCCAATCTGTTAACCCCCTCACACATTGTAGTTTTCACCTCGAGAAGCTTTGTATCTCTTTTGATACTTTCTATGTCTTTAGTTAGTATTTTGAACACATGGAACATAGCTATTGTAACCGGTTTGGTAAGTCCAACACCCAAGTGAGTTAGAAGTCAATTTTGATTAATTGGTTTTCTTCATATCAGTCACACCTGCCTGCCTCTTTGTAGGTCTGGTAATTTAATTAGATGTCGGTGTGAATTTTTGTTGTTCAGTTGCTAGATAGTTCTGAATCTTAACCTTTGTTTCGGCCTGGTTATGTCACTTAGGCACAGTTGGATCTTTTGGGATCTTGTATTTAACATCTGCTAGATGAGTCCTTAGTCTCTGCTGCTGAGGTAAGATGGGAACTTCCTGTGGAGCCCCCTGTGAGTCATGAGGTTTGCCAATGTGCCTGATAATCCTCACTATTCCTTACCCTGTGCTGGTGCTGGACACTGTTACTTCTAATTCTTTTTCATAGTTATTTCCTGGTTGTGGGTGGTTTCCTTACGTGATCAGGTTCTGACCAATCACCTGAGTACTCAAGAAGAAACTTTCACACATCTCCAGAGCTTTGTCACTCTGCAGTCCCTGCAGACTCTAGCTACCTCGGTCTCTCAGAACTCGGCACCACCCACTTAACTAAGAGCATTTGCCAGGCTCTGCTTGGATTCACCCTCCATGCATCACACCTAGAAATTCTCCGAAGATCCTACAGTGTGACCATGACAGAGTCCCCCCCCCCCGTGCACTTCCCATCTCTCTGGGATCATTGTCTTCCACTGCTGTATGTGAAGTGTTTTGAAGATCATAGTTTCACACGTTATCCATTTTCAAGTTATTTTAGGAAGAATGATTGGTCTCTGTTACTCTGTCTTAATGGGGATTCTGTTGATTATTTATCATTCATATTTTTCTTTAATGATTCAGAAGTTATAGCCTTTAATGAAAATTGTCCTCTTTTTTTTTTATAAATCATCTCTAAGCGCACAACTGTTAAGGACTGAATGTTTGTATCCCCCTACCCAAATTCATATGTTGAAATGAACTAACACAATAATATGTTATATGTGATTGGGCCAATATCCTAACCATTTAAAAGATTAAATAATCCATTAAATCTCTTCTGTCAAAAATGAGGAATTTTTAGCATGTTTTACTTCCATGCTGGTCCAAGTATTATGATATGTACAATAACTACTTTGTAACACTTGCATTGTTTGTTAACAATGAGAAATTAGACTTAGCTGTATGCTGTTAATTTCTCACTGCTTTAATTCCATATTTATTTACTTATATTAATGTTCCAGTCAAGTGGGTACATGATTGGCTAATTTTCTGTCAAGTCATAGACTTTGGACCTCCTTCTTGACATATCTTTATGTGTGCCTCACTTATGATCAGCAATATCCAATCTGCTATCAACAGCCTACGTCTCATTTTAAAATATGACAATGTTTTTCATTACTAAAAGATACTATCTGGATTTAAAGTTCTTCTTTACGACGCGTGGCCAGAATACTGGATTTGCTTAATGTTTCCCTTTCTGAGTTTCCTCTAGGACAATGTGTTTTAGTTTCTCAGATTGGTCCTCTTTGACAGTATGAAACTCTTACCCTCATCTGCATTACAGAATTGCTACCATGCTTATCCTTAACACAGTGAGGGATCTATCCAAATTTCAGTTGGCTCCGGTCACATAGGTTTGGCTCCCTGTGCAGAGGCCCAAATGAGGAGAAAAGGAATGATTTCTATTTCTTTTACACTTTGCCAGATTCCAGATTGAGTTGTCTGTGTGGCAAGGGGTGGAATCCACAAGAACTTGGCTCAGAGTCCTCTTTCTGTGTATTTATTTGGGTAGCCAAGATGAACCGGGGCCATGGCAGCCTTCAGTGACCTTGTCAGGATTTTGATACCGAGGCAAATCTTCCTCCAAACCCTCTTTCTTCTCAGACTTTGCAACACCGTCCTGTTTCCAGCAGTGTAAACCCAGCGCCTTGTCCACAGTTCTGAGGCCACTGTCGGCCCCACCAACTTCCCAGGTCCTGACCGTCTCTCCCTGCTCTCCCTTCTGGGTGCTCAGGTAGACACTGCCCCCCCCTCCCCCCCATGATGGATGGGTCCTTCCCAAAGCCTCTCCAGGTACAGTTTTTCTTTGTAGAAACTTGGACCACGGATCTGTCTTTCGTCTTAGCGTTTCTGGCCGGTAGAGGGCGCGCTGCTCCCACTTTTGCATCTCCTTAGCCACACCTGGCTAAGCTAAGTACTATGAGCTGGGTTACCTAAAAGCCTCGGTTTGGATTTGGGCTTCACTATGTATAAATTTGTGGTCCAGGAAAAGTTTCTGTTTCAGAGAAGCCTGTGTTCTCATCTGTGTAATGCGAAGCAATAACCACCACCTCTGGTGTTTCAGGGACTTAAATGAGGCACTATGTATAAGACCTTTAAGAGGGCCTGTCAGATGGGCATCCTCTGTATTTTTTTTTTTTTTTTTTTGCATAAAGAAGATTGGGGAGAGGGTAAGATGAGCTCTTTCTCTCCTTTGTTCCCTCCTGTAGCTGCAATCTCCTCCTCCCCTTTGGGGTGACTTTTCCCTTGCCTTCTGATTCTTGCCCAACACCCCATTACACTGCAGCCCACAGATCCCCCACTGGAGGACTATCTGCGTGCTTGTTTCCACAACCCACTATCTCAACCTGTCTAAATGGATCTTGCTCTACGGTGCCATTTTCAAATCCACATTAACTTTCCTTTTTCAGAGGCTTCTAATATTTTATGATCTGCCTTCCCCCACTAGAACTCAATTACACAAGTGTTCAGCTTTCTACATGTGAAAATGGCCCAAGGGTGGACACTCTTTGTGCGGTCAGTGTTTCCATAAATGGGCCCCCTGCCAAGTGCAATGGCACACACCTGTAATCCCAGCACTTTAGAGGCTGAGGCAGGAGGACTGACAAGAGTTCAAGGCCAGCCTGAGCTACACAGTGAGTTCAAGCCAGCTGAACAAAGCAAAACCTTGTCTCAGAAATAGACGTCCCTCCCCCTCCTCTTTCTGATTTCATTTTCCCTGGAGCCAGAAGAACCGAGTAGCCAACAGAGATGGGTCACACACACCAGGAAGCCAAGCAGGTTAGATTTACTAGGGTAATATCTGCAGGTGAGATAACAGCACATACATACAGAAACCCACGGGCAGACACCACCCAGCAACACAGTCAGACACCAAAGCAGCAAAAGGGCTCAAGAAGTGGCTTTGGAAAGTTCTTGTGGAAATCAAAGGGCAGCTTTGGTGCTCAGAGATTCAAACAGAAAACTATACAGAACCAACCCATAAATATATATATTATATATGTGTATATATATATAAAATTGCAAAATAAAAGCCCAGGAGATTAACCATCCATCTGCACATCAGTGGCTCAAAAGTGTTAGCACAGAGAAAGGCAAAACCGTTTGTGAGAATGGTGCATGGTGCTGGCGTTTTAGTAGCAGAAATTATTTACATGGAACCCCTATTTGAAACCTCACGATACTAAGAAAAACTAAACACAGACAATGTATATACAAGGGAAGACAGTAAATAGTACTCTCGCATGACGATTGTCGACACAGACATCTCACTGAAACCACCCACAGCTTTAGATAACACTGCATTTCCCACCTAGACTGGGTTCCCGCTACCTTCTACTCCAGCTGGGTCATCCTAGGCTCTGGACTGTTAGTCTCCCCACCTTGCATCTTCCTTGGAGAAGGAAAACTCTGGGACTCAGTGGGTGTCCCAGATCGTGGAAATTAAAGGTGGACCAGTCCCGGGGCATCAAATAATCACCCACAGCGTAGGACCAATAGAACAATCACCAATCCAACAGGAAAAGAGGAGTTGAAATGAAGAGATGGGGCTCCCCAAAATATATTTCCAGCTGTATAAGGGGGCTGGGATGTTTTTCAAGTGTGGCTTTTCTGCCCTTGGTCCTACCGTTGTCCTGTTTCTGATTCACTTGAAAAGAAAATAGCTGGCCTTTAGGTTTCTGAAAGTTATACAAGATGATTTGCTGGAGGGGGGGGGGGAGTTTAGAGTCTTTTACTATAGCCACCCTCCCACTACCTATAAGCCCTAGAAATGTCTTCTTTGCTCTTCATAGAGACCAGGGAAGTGGCCTGTCACAGCCAGCACATCCTGATCCTTGGGAAAGAGAACTGGTCTTTGGGAAAGGACTTGAGAACCTGACTACCAGAAGGCTAGAGGTGCCTTCAAACACCGAGGCCAATGCCAGCTGCACCTGAATCACCCCTGTATCAATCATGATCTTCCTTCTCCATCTTCAGCCCCAATTTCTCATAGCAATGATCCAACTTGGGGGAAAACCTTGAAGGCAAGAGGCACCAAACATCAATGCAAAACCTACTACCACCTAAGTATGAATCAATGCAAACCAGTATTTATGTATTTCTAAGAACATTTCCCACCTGGAGATTATTACTAACAGTTCCTCAGAAGCCTACATTGTTTAGGGAACAGGCTACATAAAAATGACAAAAAAGGAGCCTTCTCCACTAAAGAACATGCACCTGAACTCTCCACCCTGACTCCTGAGTGACTATGGCTTCTCTACCTGAGAGGGAGGAGTGGAACAGATAGTGTCCTGTCGAGTTTTGCCTTGTGGAGTGCCCTGTTCTTCGGTGGGACTGGAAAACGTGGGTTTATTTTCTTCCTTGTTTCTCCTCAGGCTGTGAATGTGATTATCCTAGGGTTCAGCTGGATTCAGTCATAAGCAAAGACATAAAAGACCTGTCCCCTATCAAGTCAACTGCAACTATGCTGACGATCCAAGGACTCCCACTGACCCACATGTGTAAGATGAGTAAGATGTAAATATTTTCACATCTATTCAAAGTCAATATTAGATTACTCTTGGGCCTAGAATTACGACCTAAAATTCAAACACAGATTATCAGCTACGATAGGTGATGTGTCTATCTTTGTGCACATCTTCCTGGAAAGTCCAAATTTATGTTTAATTTTTTAGACTTTTGGAAGTGCATCATGTCTTTGAGTGAATGGTTCTTTCAAATCTGTATCAACCAAAGACTGGATATATAGCATGCTACCCATGTTGACAAGAGCAGTAGCCCTCTGTTACAGTAGTGCCCAACGTCTAATGCCTGTCCTGCCACATTACCATGAATGAGTGTGTCATTCCACAGGGGACAGGATTCAAGGCTCAGTATTCAGAGTTGGGGGCTGTGGTTTACAATGGGGTTCTTCCTGTAAGAACCTTCTGCCCCTCATTCAAATTCACCCCTACCAAGTCCTTTAAAAAGAACTTGGCTGTCCACAGAGGAAGAGCCTCAGGTTGGTTACAGAGGTATCTGTGGGGGTCATTTTCATGTGTACAACTTGGCTGTAGCAGGACAGTGACTTGGGTCAGCTTCAAGCCTGGAGGCTCTGGGCTGGGCCAGGGGTCTGTTTCACAGTGCCTTTTGCAGTAAAGGGAAGATATGTGCATGGATGGTTCTCCAACATTACACCTGGGTTCCAGTTACTAATGCATGAAGTCATCAGAGCCAAGCTTATCTCCCTATAACCATTCATCCTTCTTCATCTCCATTTCTGCTCCTTCCCATGGAAAGAGGTTCTGAACTTTCTCTTCCTGGGTCAGTCACAGTACAGCATATTGATCCAGATTCTCTTATCTCTTCTCTGTGCATGTCCAAGCACCAGGGCTCAACTCAAAATGAGCCCATCACCTAGAAATTCTGACCTTATGAATATTCAGTATCTCATTATCAGATGCTCATTAGATTTTCAGCCAGTTTTTATGTAGTGCCGTGGGAAATGCCCTTTCTTCTCTCCTCCATAGCCTATGGTTTTACTCATCCTGCAGGTCTGCTTCAGTAGCATTTGGTGCACACCTTCCAAGCTAGAACTAAGCCCCCTGCAATGACTCCCCACCTCTCCCAGCAGGTCTGCACAAAACAAAACAGAATCCGTAACTGTTTGAATATTTCCCTCTCATTGAAAATCTCTCTTAAGGTGCTCTATCCAAAGAATTTTATGGAGAGGAATCCTAGGCTGGAAACTCACTGTTTGCTAATGAGGATCATGTACCACGGGGCAGGTTATCAGTCCTGTTTCAGTACTGACATTCTAGAAAAGCCACATCACATCTCGCACACCCCCAGCCCCTTTCCTATTCAGCTAACAAAAGACTCTTCAACAGTACAAGCCTACGCAAGACTGGTTCCCAACTTCTTACCCGAAAAAGTCTATCTCCTCTATACTTTCTACGAGATTAATTATGCTCCATCTGAGAAGGGAACCACCCCCTACCTGCCGCTTCCCTACCCTGGCAACACCACAGCATTCAGTGGAACGCACCATGGAATTTCATGTTTCCATCTCTGTGAATTCTTTCATCTCTGTGGAATACTCTGCCAGCTCTTTTGCTCCGGAAGATTCCTCTTTGTTTTGAAAACCTAACTCACCCATCACTCCCTTCAGAAAGGTTTCTCTAGTACCCAAGACATCACACCACCTTCCCTGCTGTGTAACATGTCTACAGGCCTCCTATACTCACGAAATTTTTGACATCAGGAATTATGTCCCACCCTTATACCTGCCCTATGACCCAAGCTCCATGCAGGTTTTTCTGAATATACAAGAAATGAACAAAATTGGTAAATAAGAGGTGGACTCATGGCACAAATTCCAAGCAGGATACTCTAGCAAGGTTCCAACAATTTCACCTCACTGTGAAACAAAGCCTCACCATTATAAAGGGACTAAAGAGAATTTGTTAAGCACAGAGTTGACTGACATTATCTCTGAGCAGCAAGCACTCACACACGATGCTGCATCAGAGGTCACATCCATTCCTCCCTTCTCTTAACATCATTTGCCACTTACTATTGTAGTTACAATGGTTGCTTTTCAGCATAATGTCTGGTGCAAAGTGAATGCTTAACCAATATTATGAAAGAATGAATGAGTAAATGTGAAATAATTTCTTTAAAGAAGGCATCAAAGGATTGGCTTTTAAAGGCATTTACCATATGACAGATTTTTCTGAGGCATCAGTGGCCCTGGGTCATCCATCATTAGATGTGACCCAACCAGGAAACAGGACAGAGTGTGGGACCCGGGGAAGCAGTGAGGATTCTGCACTAGGTTTTCAGCATTGACTTTTCCTTGGTCCTGTTAGTTTCCTTCCTTCTCAAGACACAGCGAAGGATGGATGGTATTTCTTGCTCTCCTCTGTCAAAGGTCCACACTGGCATCACTTCAGTCCACGTTCACTGGAAGCTTAAGGTATGTCGATGAGAGTGAACACAGGTAATTTCCTACCTCCAAGTGCAGTAGAGACACTGCACTTCTGCAGTAGAGACCAGTCTTTGAAATGGTTCATGGACTAAAACAATCATCTTGACGATAAAAGTTGTCCATTCACCATATCTACTAAAAGCAAGAGCTCATGATTCATACGGACCTGGGTTCAAATGCAGACTCCAGCTCTTTGTAAGCAAGTTAATGGTTCCTTTAGGACTCACATTTCCTCATCATAAAGTAGAAATAGTCTTATCTTACAGGCTTGTTATTAGGATTAGAGGATAGAATGTATATGAGTCTGCACAGTGTCTACAGATATTAAATACTCAAAAGTGGAAAACTGTGACTAAGAATTTTTCAAAAATATTTTTATGAGAATCAGGACCAAAAAAATATTCTTTGAAGACACTGTGCTTTAAAGAGAATCGATTGTCTATGAGCCAAAAAATGCTCATTTATCAATACCCCAGGGAAAAAAAGCATTGGAAGTTAAAACAATAGGTGTGGTATTACCAGGCGCAGGATGGACAGAGTGTGACAGGGTTGGGGACACCCAAGCATTTCTCTGAGCATTGGTCCAAGAGGATAATCCTGAAGGACTCATTTTGTTTCTCCTCTGTTGGTTCCAGAGTGACTCAAAGTTGGAACCCCAAAAGAGCCAAGGTAAAGATACCAAAAGCAAGATGCCAGTTCTGGTCTGTGAGCAGGTGCTCCTGGGTTTGAGGGAAGGTCAGAGAATACCTGACTGCTGGACAACAGTGAGGCAGGAACAGCCATGTTGCTCTATATCATGCAAAGCTAGAAAAGCAAAGCATTTCCTGTGCTATTTTGATCCTCCTTGTACTACTCAAAGCCAACACAGGGTTTCCAAAATTTCTGTCCTGAGCATGAGACAAAATTTTTTTATGCTAAATTTGGTTTTCAGTTTTGAAGCACTTGAGATGCACAACACAAATATTCGAGTTCGTGGCTTCTTAAATTAAACCATCCCTCGCCATCAGGCTTACTCGGTTGCCCTCATGTCAGCCATCTCTTACAACTCTTCCACCCATCATTCAGGAGGTTCCATGAAGAAAGCTCAGGGTCAGTGTTGGGAAGTAGAAGCTAAGCCATCAGCCTTGGGAATAAAGATTAACTTCTATCATAGGGGGTGGATCAATTTATCTGATTACTTTGAGCAGCCAGGCAGGGATTCAAATGGAAAGGAGAATGAGATTTCTTAATGTGGAGATAGCTCCATCATAGAAAATGGGATTTCTGGAAGAGATGGACCTTACTTAGGGAAAGCCTCAACCTGTCTGATTCAGTCTGAACCTGCGAGAGCTCACGGTCCATTACTGACCTTCTTGCCCTGGGCTCAGATTGGCGGGAAACATCCTAACAAAGGTGGCCCACGGTTAGGCAGTGTGTACAGTGGAAAGAGCACTAGACTGGGAGTCCAGAGACCTGAATTCTAGTGCAGGCTCTGCCGCTATCTGTGTGACCTTGGGCAAGTCACCTGATTTCTCTGGGGTAACTGTAAAATGAGGGGTTGGTTGAGTGATCTCTAAGCTCCCCCTCTGGATGTAATCCAGGTTCCTATTCTTTCCCTCCTTGGCCCCATGCTTCCAGGGACAGAGTTGGGAACAGGGGAGGGAGGAAGGAGAGGATGCTGATGGGAGTCCATGGGTCCCACAAATCAGGACTCCACTTTCTCTTTCTTTTTGCTCTTTTTCAGGAAGGAAGGGGTTCGGAATTTCTTTTTCTTCTTTGAAGGAGACTTGGAAGGTGAGCCCTCTGGAGACATGGGGCCGCTGGTGACCGATTCAGTTTTGTCCTTGGCGGTATCAGCATCTGTGTCAGCATCGGTGGTCACCTGGCTCAAGCCTCTGCTGAGGATTTCCTCTGCCGTCTGCTCCTCCTCCTTCCCGTTGACCACCACCCCTTCGGGCTGGGCTGTTTCAGGCTCTGTGGTGGCTTGGCTTGGTTCTGTCTTCTTAGCATCTTCTAGAAAAAGATCAAAAGACAGCATCCATAACATTTTACTCAGGTGGGAATGAGAGTGCATGTCTAGGGTCTACAGAACCACTTCTATGGAATTCCAGTCAGTTATCCAGAGCAAGGGGAGAAGCGGATTGACATGGGCAGTGGGCAGGGTGTCAGGGGGATGGACAGATTGGTTTTCACCCAAATCTTCTGCCCCTTCCCACATGGCCCGCTCTGGGGAATATGTGCTTGTCAGGACAGTAGCTCTGGGCTTTTGTCTACACATTTACATCAGAACACAGCAGGGGAACCAGCAGGGACTGAGTTCAGACTATTTCTAGGCACAGAATGAGGAAACACAAACAGAGGAGAGAAGCTGGGGGGGCGGGGCGTGCCATGTACACCACAGCAGAGGCATCCGGGAACTGTCCTAAATGGTTCAGTTTCATCAATAAGAACATGTAAGTTACATGTTTCCATATCAATTTCATTTCCTCCACCAGTTGGGCACTTGGAAACTATGGAGGGAGTCTTCCCAGGAGACAAAAAGGGAAAGGCAGAGGGAGAATGAAATTCCCTGAGTGGTACAGACCCCGTATTTCCATGATAGGAGGGTCAGCCAGGAGAGGTTAACCCATGCTAGCAGCCATAGAACCCCCGATCTTTATTCTACCTAGAGTTCAAGGTCAGAACTGGTCAGACCCTAGAAACTAAACCCTCTGTCCACCCTTTCTTTCTTCCCTGCCTACAACATACCCTGTTCCCTGAAAGCTTTGAAGTACTTAGGTAAAGAGGGAAGAGGAAAAAACAAGTAAAAAGTGACATAAAGATCTCCTGGCCCCACTCTCTCACTTCACAGCTAAAAACTGTGAACAATTCTACAGTGCTGGGCAGCCTCAGATCACCGGCTTCTGGTTTGGTTCACAGAACTGAAAGGAGAATCAGTGTGTGATGTGTGTGTGCTGTGAGCACGTGTGAGTGTGTACATGTGTGAACATGTAAGTAAGCCATGTGGTGTGTACATGAGAATGGGTGTGTGTGTGTGCAGTGTAACAGTGTACAGGTGTGTACATGGGTGTGGTGTTACACATCATAAGAAGGAAGTCCGGCATGCTCCACCATAAGAGAATGTGAAATATGGGGGAAGCTGAGCCAATGTTACAGAAATAGGTCAAGAAATGAGTTTTGGGAGAAGCCTGTGTTTGGGCAGGGCTCAACAAGGGAAATATATAGCAACTTGGAGGATGGGCAGGAGATGGGTAAACTCGGGACAGACAGAACGGGCTGCTTTAACTACCTGGTCAAGATCTCCCTGTAATGACGTGTTAATAACCTCTGAAGCTGGCAGATCATCGTCCTCTCCCAGATCCTTGCTGCAGATGACCTCCTCCTTAGCCCCAGAGCCTTTGGCCCCTGGCTCCCATTATTCCCACTGCCCAGGCCACATCCTGTCCCCAGCGTCCTGGCTCTCACCACGCTCACCCCAGTGCCCTCACCTCTGCCAGGCATTCCCATGCCACCCCCTGGGCAGTGCTCCTGGATGCCAGGAGTCAGCCTGGACACGAGGTGCTCTCTGTCCACTCTTCACCTGCTACTCAATTGCATCAGCATTTTGGTTCCTGTCATGTCAGCCCAATTTCTACTGTCTGGAAATCCTTCTTCTCTCTTTTCTATGTCCCCAAACTTAACCTAATTCCACAAATCAGCTTGAATGTTTCATCTTCCTTAAAGTCTTTCCTGATTCCCATTCCCATTCCCATTTCCAAGTAAAACTGAGCACTCTGTTCTTTCTGCCTCTACTCTGTAAACTTCCATCATAGCAACCGTAAAACTAGCACAACACTTTGTAAAATGTGCATCTCTTCCCGCCCCTGTAAACTGAAATGGAGTCCAAGTATCTGTGTAACTAGCTCCTAGAAGGTTCCCAGAAAATGTAGAATCCATGAATGATTGAAAGCATGAGCAGATGCATGTGTGCACAGATTTATTCACCATTTCCTTTTCTCTCCTGGCCATCCCAGCCAAAGCCTTCCCCGCTGAATTGTGTCCTTCCATGTAAACAGCCAGGCCGCTACCTTTGTGCCCTGTACGTACTCTCCTAGTCCCACATTCTTCTTCCTGGGTGTTTTTATATGTCCCCTGTTCCTGCGACTTCAGTCCACACCCTTATGCAGGCACTGCCTTGGCTGACATGTTAGGCCATGTTTCTTGAGCTTGGTGTGTGGTGCCATCCTGAGATGATGCTGGGACTTATCTCTTAGCTCCACAATTTTAACTGTGGTTAAGAGATAAGAAGGGCTCTGTTCAAGTGTCATTTCCTGCTCTGGTAGTGATGAGGATCCTCCTGTTCTTACACTGGGGCTCTGTCATGTCTTCAGACTGATAACGAATTATACCATTGGCTCTCCTGGTTCATCTGCTTGCAGAAACTCTGTCGTGAGGCTTCTCGGGCTCCATAATCACATGAGGCAATTCCCTAATTAGCATCCCTTTATATCTCTATATGCCTTATTGGTCCTGTTTCTCTGAAAAACCCTAATAAGTCACCTTCCAGCAATGCCTACTCCACCACATTTCTAGATATCAATCTTGGACAGCCCACTCCACTCCTGTCTGCCAGTCCAAGTGTGTATCTCCCAAAAGTCTAGCTCGAACCACACTTCCCCTGATGCTTGACAATGATCTGGCCCTCTTCTAAAACTATTACTCACCTATTCATTTTGCACTTACATGCATCATTTATCACCTCCATAGACCACTTCAGGCTGTAACTCTGTCTTCTACTTTTCTGAGCCATCACTCAGTTCAGTGATAGCATGTTTGAGCTTCTTGCCAAGCAAGACCAAGCAAGATGAAGGCTCAACATGGGATGCCTCGCTTCTCCTCCACAGCTGGCTCTTCTGTGTCCATGTACTCGTGGGAGGACACGGGGAAGGACTATGCACTTTGCCCAACTGCAGGACCAAGGCTGCCTTTCCTTCCTGCCTGAATGGTCCTGTCTGTTAACATCTTAGGGTCAAATATATGACCACAGCCTCAGTGCTACAACTTAGAGAGGCTCTGTATTTGTAGCAAGGGAGATGCCTCTGGGCCTGGAAGCAGGATTTGCTGACTTGCTTCTGATTTTAAGGTCAACTAGACTGAAATGATCTATGTCCCAAATGGAGAGCTGGTCCCTACTGAGAAGCAGTCTGTAACACTGCATCGAGAATACAAGAAAAATGTTGATTAATGGCTTTGGAAAAAGAAATCCGTGACAGGCTGCCACAGGACTGGTGGTCCTGTAGCAATGGTCAAAAAACAGACAAGGTACTTCCTGAGGAGAAAGGAAGACCAGCAAACAAAGCTGCCTCATTGCCGACCATGCAGAGAACTTTCCAATAGGGTTTCTGTCTTGATTTAAATATTCAAAAACTTGTGACTGAATGAATCACCCAGGGAGCTGGGGAAAATATGAAGTCTTACCTTCACAATAGACTGTGAAACATGGGCCAAAGGCATTTATATTTTAAACAAGTCCTCAGGCAATTCTCATACAAAACCCCACTGGCCACCTATTGGAAGATAGGGATTTAGAATGACATGTCTCCCTTCACACTGACATCCCCCAAGAAAGGAGATGGCAAAGAGAGCAGAGCTTCTTGTAATCAGGTATTCAGAGTTATTCTGTGTAACTCCCTCCTACTCATCATAGTTGGAACATAGAAGTTCTCCCGAGCACCCAAATGTATTTTCAGTGTGTGGGATAGCCACGTGCAAATATGGCACCTATCAGCCCCTGAGCCAGGCCTCCGGGTATTCACATACTTGTGTAATCCCTCCACTCACTGTGCATCCAGGCTGGCCCTGTGGCTTACTAGAATCACTAGAACTCAGAATTGCTGCAGAGCCCATCTCAGCCCAAAGATTTAAAGTCTAGCAGTCTCTGCTTCCTGTGGCACCATGAATAAAGAACAACTGTCCCAATGGAAACATGGAAATGCCACATGGAAATGGCCTGAGACCACATGGAGAGGGCCTGAGGCCAGAGAGAGATTCAGACTCACTCTGGTGTCCCACCCAAGCCCAGCCGGTCTTCTCATCCTTGATCAAGATGCTAGACATGTGAGTGGGCCATCATGGAAGTTCCAACTAGTCAAGTTCCTGGCTGGCTGACCACCAAGCTCATCCCAGGCAACTCCAATCAATTCATAGAACTAATTTCCATAAAACTAGTTCTTATGCACCATGATTGAATAACTATCTAGTGCTGCAAACAAACCATCATAAAACTTAAGAGGTGATCATCTCATGTTAAATAAAGGGCTATTTCTTTGCACGGTTAGTCAGTAACTCTGAGGGTTCACTGGCAGACAGAGTTAGCAGGGACAGCAGTCAGTCAAGGGCTAGTCAGAGAGAAGATGGGGCAGATGGCCAGATGTAAAGGAAAAATATTTGGAAGAGTATCCTTTAGAGGGGCCGATGGGGTGGGAATCAGGGATACAGATGAAGAGTGACTAAACTAAGGTGATTCAGCACAAGACGATTTGAGAGCAAAGTGATAAATAGTTGAAAAAAACCTACCCCGGATTTGATGGGTCAGCTAAAAGTGAGAGTGCAGATGTTGCCCTCTGTGTGAGACTTGTCTCTGCTGGGGAGCTGGCCAAGGATCCTAGGCTCATCTCAGATTGCTCCACACAGCTGCAGCTCGGATCCTCATCATCCAGGTTCTGCTCCATGACAGCCACACTTCCCAGTACAGTCTGTGCTACAGGAATTTTACCTCCAGTATCTTCAGGGAAGACCCTAATTTTTCTAACACTGCAACCACAGTATGGCCCCCGAGAAGCATGGATTTGGATCCAAATAAATGAAGACTCCTGCCATAGCAGGTACGATGTCAGATAAACAGGCATTCTATCCATCCCATACTCTTCCTGCTCTCTGTTCCTTCTAGGAGCTTATGATAAATTGTTGCCTTTGTTCTCCCTTGAGCCTCCTCTCACCCCCAGATCTGGTGCACATGTCATAAGACCAGGGCCTCTGCCTTATGTAGCAGCTGGACCCTGGCCTGCAGTATTCAGAGAGATCATAGGTACCCAGAGGTACCTATGCATTAGGAATAGGGAGGAGGTAAGCCTCTTAGGGCCATAAGCACTGTACTGCAGACAGCACTACAGCCGCCCCACTGTCCCTCATGGTAGGGGCTGGTGCTTCTAGATGTGTGTGCCCTATGTGTGTGTTTGTGCAGGTGTGTGCCCTATGTCTCTCACAAGGAAACCTTGTCTGTGCATGGAGCAGGTAGAATCGGTCATCCAGGAAACCTCCCAAAGATGGGGTTGTGAGTTGCAAAAGAAAACACAGAGAGAAATACATTACCTTTGCCAAGCTCCTCCCTCCCCCACTGCAAATGTCGGAGTGCGTAAACAGCCTCTCTATACTTACTACAGAGACAAGTATTCAGAATCGGAGGAAACTCCTTTGATGAAGGCACAAATGGGAAAAGAAAGGAAGACATTGTGGAAACAGGTTGACAACACAACATCACGATGAGACACATGAACACAAATGGTTGCGGACATCCATTTGGGGCTGGAGCCCCAAGCGGATGGGTTTCCTCTGGCTATGGCAGACCTGTGCTCAAGGTAGCAATTGGCTTACGGAGGGAGCTCAGGGCAAAGGTCTACCTGAATCCGCCTATGTGGCCATTCTACCCAAGAAGGAGAAGATTGCAGCAGACCACCAAGGTGCTGCTTTCTGGATGGCAGCACAGCCCTCTGTACTGGAGCCTCTCGGGGAGCCAGTGTCCATGTCCTGGAGTGATTTAGGAGCTCATTAAAGACACTTTTATGAGTTAAACAGCTAGGGGCTCTAATAGTGTCATTGTCTACCATATGTATATTCTTAGTCATATTCATAATGAGATCTTACACTTAAATGTGCTTTTACTCTTTCCAAGAGTGATTGCATCTCCCCTATAAGAACCTTAAAAGGGGAAAATAATAGTAATTCCATTTCATACACAAGAAACTGAGACACGAAGTTTGATATGCTAAAATTAGCAATTCAGTTGGGCCTAGTCCTTGGATCTTGAAACTAGTGTTTCTAATAAAGCTGTTTTCAACCTGAGCTACACGCTGGAGTCTGCTGGAGAGATCTTAACTCCTGGCTGCAGTCTTTCCACTCAGGAAGGCCGGGTGTGGGATCCAGGCATCAGGATTTTTGAAGCTCCCCAGGTAATTCCAATGTGGAGCTGAGGTTAAGAATGCCATCAGCCTCACTTCGGGAAATGCAGAGCCTCAGATCCCAGCCCAGACCTAAAGGATCAGAATTTTCAGTTTAACAAGGTCCTCAGGTGGGTGTTGCCTGGAGGAGAGGAGACTGGGGGTCAAAAGGCTCAACCCTTGGTCACTTATTGCTTAGCAGGGTGTAAACTGTAAGGTCTACTGTCATCGCTCCTGAATGAAACACAAACTGAAAACTGTTCAGATTTCCTAGAAATAGATGAAAAAGTGGTGGTGGGAGGGAGTAGAAATAACACCTGTAGAAAGGTGGGTACGTGCCTACCCTCCACACCCTTCCAGCCTGCGGCTGCTCTGCCTCGGCCCAGCGTGCACAGCTCCACTCACCCTCGGTGGACTTGGAAGGAGAGACCGCAGGGCTCTTTGTCTCTGTCTTCGTTGGACTCTGAGCTGGGGAAGCAGGTGCAGACTTTGCAGGGGAGCCGGGCTCTTCTGTGGTCGTGTCCTTCTCTCCTGAAAATATATCCAGATGGGCAAAGTGAGTGCTCATGAAAAACTGTTTTTCTATTTGGTTCTCATTTCTGCAGGCTGACAGTGACTCTCTTGGCTGTAGTTAGCTGCTGCTCCTGAGCTTTCTCTTCATTTCTGCTCCTTCACTGGGGAGGCAAATTGTAGAAGTAAACATGATGTTGTTTCCTTCATTGAAGCCATCTACCATGAAGTGTGGGGATGGCAAGATGGCAGGAAGAATGGCACATACATCCTTTGAAGAGGACCACCCAGATACACAGATCAGTGTCTCAGAGAGGAGCCCTAAACGACCGACCACCGACTCCCCTTAAAAGCCAAGGATTTGTTTGCATGTAGCTAATTTATTAACTTAGCTAATTTAAGGTTTCTTGTCCAAACAATTACTAGGTTTAAAATGCACCAGGCTCTTCAGTTTTTCCATGAAAGCCAGGAAGGTGGCTGACACTGATGTGGGGAGGTGAGGGAGGAGACCCTCCCTGAGGAATGTGAAATATAACCAAACGCTGAACTACGTGTTTCATACCCCAGCTGCTTTAGAAAAAAGAGGAGGGCTGGGGTGGACTGGGGAAGGTGACAGAGAGACTTTCCTAGCTGCAGGGGGATCTGAGATGGAGGCTGCAGAATTGATGACTTTGGAACAGGCTAGCTGAGAAGGCAAACAGTCCTAGGAAGAGATGAAAGCATGAACCGGGGAACAGCATGACAATAGTATGAACATTTAGGAATCAACATGGGGATGGGCTGAACTGAAGTCTCCAACATAAAGGAGAAATAAAATATAAAGGAGTCAGCTAGTGGACATAGCTCTGACTTCAGGGTAAAAAGCTTACATCGAACCCGATAGGTCATTAATAATAATTATTATACCTATCTTACTATAGCTAACACTTCTGTTACAGCCATATTTATAGGCATTATTCTAAGTGCTTTACAAATATTAAATCTTTTATACTTAGATAAGAGGGTCTCCTCTAAGGGAATGGTTAGGCAGAAAGCAATCAGGGGCATTATCATAATTGAGTGCTCTGCTAATAGGGACATTATTTGATGCTGGGGCAGGGAGATCCTTGCTGGGAGTCCTATACTTGCCCTCAACACTGGGAAACTCTGAAGTCATGATGCCCCAGGATTATTTACCATCCAGTTCTAGTTTCTTCCTCTCCACTTCTTTCTTGTACTCCTCCAGCTCCTGGTCAGTGAGTTGACTGAAAGGGTTGGGTACCGTCTCCTCTGAATCATCTTTGGTATCCGCGTCACCCTTGGACATCAGCTGGCTCTCTGTAGACTGAAAGTTAACCACAGAGTGTGTGTCGCAGATGGGGCCCGGGCCTGAGATTCCTTTCAGATGGCTGCCAGCAGTCTTGCTAGGGATAGCGTGGCATGCAGCTCCTTGGAAACAGCTCAGGCCCTTGGGGTGGGGCTTGCTCATTGCTCCCCATTGCTACCTCATGCCTAGACCCAGATTTTGCAACTGTTCGAATGAAACAGGGGTCTACCCTTTGCCCTTGAAATAAAATCAAAGGATGCTCCCAAGCAGAAGGAAGACACACCTTTATTGCAATCCCTCTATGGATACTCCAAGCTGGTACTAATGCAAATACAGTTAGTGGCCCAAAGTCAGTCAGCCAAAGCCCAGCAAGCATAGCTTGGGCTCAAGCAAGCTTCAAGCCAGCCACTCCCCACCACTGCCCCCCACCCTGTCCCCAATAGCAGTGCAAGCCACAACACACAGCATTAAGTCATCTGCAAAACAGCGGCTTCAGCATTCTCAGTCCAAGCAATTAGTCCCGTTTTGCACTCCATCATAAATTACAAAGGGGCCAAGGTCCTGAGTCTCAGATCTTCAGCCCACCTAGAATGCAGGTCCCTACAGAGACATTGGCAAAATCACTCCATTTGAGCCCTTGGCCCTGGCGCGCTGACCAGCTGGATTTTGTGTATGCTTTAGGAACACTTTGGCACCTCTAATCCCAAACAGACACTAAAATTCAAACTGCATAGCCCCTTTTCTTAGTTGAGCATCCTTATCTTAGCCTTTGAAAATGCAGTGGTCTGAAGCTGACGGGAAGCAAAGGAAAGGGAAACCCAGAGTGGGCAGGTCTTCTGAGGACAGGAGACGCGAGCCAGCCTACTCTGAGGCATCAGAGTCAAGGAGAATCCAAAACCAAGATCCCAAAAGGACTCTAAGCAGAGCACCAGGTAGAAATGGAGGCATTGGCTTGGGACAGTTTTGCTCACTGTACTGACCTTTTACCTCCCCTAGAATGGTGGGCTATTTCTATGCTTGACATTTTGGCATTTCAGGATCCCCGTTTTGGCTGAGTTGGGGAGGAGGTGGGTGTGCAGACACGATGTTCACCCTTTTCCTGCCAGCAGGCCCCCACCTTATGGGCTGCAACCTGATCGAAAACTGTTGTATCATCTTGATTTGCTCTGCGAAGAGCAACATTTTTCCATACTTCTTTTTACTGCTAAAGAAAATGCCAGACATGCCCATTGCGACCTTGCCATGAGCAGTGATGATTTTAACACAAGTCAGAGTTCTGAACTTCACTCCTATTGTTAAGCACTAGACAAGACATCATCTACCTCACACACACACAAAAACAATGGCTTTTTGTTGTCTAACTAAGTGGCTTTTGTGGGCAGCTAAGACCCTTCCCAGTATGTAAGAAACCTGATTCTGTCTACACGTCCTTCTCTGTGGGTCGGGAGCATCTTCCCAGAGCTCTGGCTGATGCTGCTGTATTCACACACAGGAACACTGGGGGCCAGGCCGGCCCCAGCACCTGAGAGCCACCTGCTCTCTGCAGGGTACTAATAGGGGGTCAAGACGAGTCCATGGTGGAAGGTAGGAAGCTGGCCAGCAGCAATCCTGTAAGCAGGCTGGGCTGCAACCTCCTGCCTGGTGCGCACAGGGAACAATTAGACACTGTCCTCCCAGAGCCTCGCAGCTTCCCTGTGAGGTGGACCTCCATTTTGCAGAAAGAGTACCAATGGCCAAGATCACAGGGGAGGGTGGGCTTGGAGTCAGGGGTCCTGCTGAGAAGACCCAGAAAGCAAACACGCTTCCCAGCCAGCAAGGGGTGGCCTCTGCTGTACCGGGCTTCGGCTCTTCTCAGCAATGACGCTTGCCAGGAGCTGAGACTGAGGCCCTGCTGACTTCACATCTTGTCGGTTTTGTTCTCGAATCTGTGTGGAAAGGAGTGAGAAAAATTTTGGCATCAGTGTATGGAGTTTGCCAGGAGGCACACTGAAGTTCAGTGCGACCTATGACTGGGGTAGAGAATGGTCCTCCAGTGGCCTTTACTATTTAACACAACCTATCTGCTTCTAGAGATGGTCCCCGTGCCTGGCCCACAGTAAATGCATTGCTCATGCAAAACACCAGATTTCCATTAACTCTGAGGAGCCATAAGAGGGAAGAGGCCCATGAGATCCTGGAGAGAGGGTCTTATATTTTAATATCCCCAAGGAGGCCCTGAGAAATGTGCTTTAAGTATACACTACTGGGACCATCTGACACCTCTTACATCTAAATCCTGAGAGGAGGCTGGGAGGTGGTAACCCCAGAATTTGAAATGAGCACTGAGTACTATTCTGGGAGCTATCAACTTGCTAGGGGTGGTCTGCTACAACTCCAATCTTAGGGTAACATTAGGGTATAAGTGAGTGAACTGTTAGATACACAGACAAAAGGTCTTGAAATCTTGAAAATAAGCGAAAAGGAAAACCATATAAAATTGGTAACAACTCATTTAATAGGTGGTGCTTTAGACCTACCTATATCTAGGATGGTGTAAGCACAGCCCTTAGTACAGTACCTAGAAGAATATGGTCCGTAAAAAGTGTGGCTTTTTCCTGTGGGCTGCTGGGAAACTCAGCCCACATCTACAAGACTTGAGAGTCCCTTATGAAGAAGAGAGAGACAGGCAGCCACCACTTTACCTTGTTCCTCATGTCCAGCACTTCTTGAGGGTCAGTGTAGAGAGGCACAAATTGGTTTGGGTTTTCAATCCGGATCGGCATGCCACTGCTGGATTTTTCTACCTCATCCGCCTTCATCCACTGTAAATGCAAGGTTAGAGGGTGAGGCAAAAGAATAAGGCCACAACCCTCTTTAGGGGTCCACCCATTGAGATCTGGGCCCCCCAGCCTACATGGAAGGTCAACCAGACTATTCTTGGATAGTCTCTCTCCTTGGGCTTCATTAATGTCTCCCAGAGTAGATATGGGTGACAGCACCAGCTGCCAAAGGCGGCCCTCAATCCATAAAGAACACAGGAGAGCAGGGCAGGGGTCAGACCTTTGGTAAGCAGCTTAGACAGGTAACCACTAAAGTTTCAGTATCACATAACTGGACTTGAGTTTTGAGAGTTTCATATTATTTCATACAGAGCTACTCTATTTGCTCCAGTTACTTTCATGTTAGTTAGAAATCAAACTGAGAGTCTATGTATATGAGAGAGAGACAGAGAGAGAGAGATGGAGAGAAAGAGAGAGAGAGAGACAGAGAGTTAATACAGGTGATTCTACTTCCCATCTCCTGGGTTTCATCAGACTTAAGAGTCCAAATGGTGGTCACACATCCCTGGAATTTCCCGGATGGCCCTCCGGACACAGGAGCAAGAAGCAAAATCCAACTGCTCTTGGGTCTGAGGCTGCTGGGAGTATCTCTTCTGGCTGCCCTCTGGAAAAGCCTGCCCTCAGACCTAACTCAGAGCATGGGTGCAAGAAAGGGCCTGCACAGCTGCTCCCAAGGGCCCGAAAAGGAGGCCTAAGAACAAATTGTACAAAGCTGTGCACAAGGAAGACTGGCTGTGTTCCCTTGTAAAGTTGCTGAAGTCCACAAATGGAGCTTTCCTTTCCTCCCAGGGCTGTCCTGGCTTCCCTCTTACTGTGGTCTTGGGCCGGGGGCTGCCCATGCTCCTCTGGACCTCGTCTGCCACGTTGACCCTCAGGTAGGTGTTTGGTGTATTCAGCCAGCGGGTCTTCTCCTTCTGCTGCTTCTGGGCATGCTGTCGCAAGGCCGGCACTGGGGCACCATCCTCCTCAAACACAAAGGCTGTGACCGTGGCTGGGATCTCCACCTCACTTTTGTGTTTGGTTTTCTCTTGGACAAAGGGATGGCGGTATGTGTAGCCTGTTCTATATCCCTAAGACAATCAAAAATGGAACCATTAATAATGGAAGAAAAAGGTCTGTAGATACACACAAACACTTTACACTTTGTTCCCTTCCATTTAAAGTATCCACTTTAAATCTCCATTGGACAATCTGCCTTCCTGGCCTTTTGGTGTATTTCAGAACTGTCCCCTCCTACTGGTCTCCAACGTGCTCACTGATCAGGACTGAGAGAATCCCTGTGTTCAGAACCTTGTGAACACAAACAAGCTCTTTATCTGCACAGAGGCCCAAATTGCATCTGGTACAGTGGTTCTAACCCTGGCTGCACAGTGGAATCTGCAAGGGTGCTTTCAAAGTACTGCTGTCTGTCCAAATTGCTGACTTAACAAGATAATGGCTTAATTGGACATGGCATGGTCTGGGTTCTAAGATTGTTAAAAGCTTCCCTACCTCCCCCCTGGAACCCTGAAAGCTGACGCAAGAACCTCCTGGCCTCCTAAGAAAGACCGTGTACATATACAAACACAGAGCTGACAGCTGCTCCTTGTGAGAACAAACACCCAGGAAGCATCTGCCCGAACAATACTCAGTTCTCCCTGTCTTCCTTTTTAAACTAAAATGGCAGTAGGGTATTGTTCTGATTATAAAGAAAATACAGATCCATGTATAAAAATCAAACAATACAGAAAAACATAGGAAAAAGTATAAACTAAGCAAAAACTCACCCCCAGAGACAACCATGAAAACTTTCCAGTCATCTCTGTGTATGTATTATACATATTTCTACTGAATTGTTCATCTTTTTCACATTGATGTGTAGTAGTCTGTTTTCACAGTGAACCTATTAATCTTCAGCTATTGGTTAATGTCACAAATATTTACCTCTACAATTTGTCTTTTAGCTGTTTGTAGTGGAATGGTTTACAGAAATGCAAATTTGTGTGAGTGTATGTGTGTGTGTCACTGGCAGTTGAACGTGGGGCCTATCTATTGAGCTACATCCCTAGTCTTTTTCATTTTTATTTTTTATTGTGACACAAGTTCTCACTAAGTTGCCCAGGTTACTTGTAATCCTCCTGCTTCCGTCTTCTAAGTCACTGGGATTACAGGGATGCACCAGGCCCAATTTGAATTTTTAATGTTATTGCGTTTGTCAATATTTATCATCATGATCTCTATCTCACCATGCTTAACAAGATCTTTCCTAATAAAAGCACACTGCAAATATAAATCAGCGTTTTTTTGTGTATCTCAGGGAGCTCATTTTTCATGTTAAAATTTTGGAAAACTCAGGCTTTTGTGTTGTTGGAAGGAATAAGGTAGCAATTTGCCTTAGTTTTCTTTCCTAAAGGGCTTTTCCTCACTGACTTATAGTGTGGCTTTTTACCCTGTGTAGCTTTTCAGATATTTTGGACCTATTTCTGGATTCTCGAAGCTGTCATATGGATTTGCTCGTCCATTCTATTACTCATACTTTATCACACTTTAGCAAGGGGTGGACCTAGTAATTCCTACTTAGATTCTTTTTATAGCATTTTTCTAGTCATTCCTAGTTTCATGTTGAAAGTACATTTTGTTAAATTTTTGTACCTGCCTTCATTTTTGAGAGAATTACATTCAGTGTGCAGACTGATTTTGGAGCACACGACTTCTTCACCTTATTGAGGTTTTCTAACCAAGGATAAATTATAACTCTTCACTGATTTTTAAGTTTTCTTTGACATCTCTGGGTAAAGTTTCAGTTTTTTTTTAAATGTGATTTGCTTAATGTTTATGACTTTGCTCCACTTGCAAACAGGATTAATTTCTTCTATTAGCATCATTATTATTTACAGTTCTTGGGGTCAAACCCAGGCCCTAAGTACCACTAAGCTATACCTCCCAAACCCCATTATATTTTCCAAGAAGTTAATGCTAAGATACAAAAACTGATTTTAAATAAATATTTTTGTATATCTTTTGCAAGTATTTTGTATACTATATTTATATATATGTTTCCATAGTTGACTACCTTAAAAGTCTCATTGCTTCTCATTTTTTCAGCCAATTTTGGATTTATTGGGTATATATTAATAATCTTATTTAATTTATAATTCCTCTTTCTTATCTCTCACTGCATAGAGTTCCAATATTAATCCAGAATATAATTAAATAATAGTCCTAAAAGCAGAAATAATTATTTTGTAATTATGCAATTATTTTGTAAGTATGATGGAAATACTTTTAGCATTTCACCATTATATTGGTGAAATTGTTTCAGGACAAGTCATTTAATCATATTAAGTCACCTATTTCAGTTGATAGCTGTTATTTTTATAAATTGATGTTAAATTTTCATCAGGTTCCTTGATACTCATTAACATGTTCATAAAGTTTCTATCCCTTGAATCTTACATAATATCAACCTGTCCTTGCATTTTTAAGGATGAGCCTTCAATTACTGTATAGTATTAGTCCAATGTTATGTTCAATATTACCTGCTAGTTTTTAAGAACCTTTTTCTTTAGTGGTAGAGATTGATCTCAAGGCCTTTGCACTGAGCTACATTCCCAGCTCTTGTTTTATCTTTTACTCTGACATACGGTCTCACTAAGTTGCCAGGCTTGGCTTGAATGTGTCCTCTCTCCCCCCAACCTCCTACAGTGTTGGAATTATAGACATGTGCCACCACGTCTGGCTCATACAGCACCTTTTTCATTCACCCACAAAGTGTAATTAGTCTAAATGTGCTATAATTGTTATAGCTTAGTATTCTTTCAGTCTTCTCTGAAAGTTTAAAGAGCATCATAATTCTTTATTTCTTAAAGAGTTGAAAGAATTCCTATATGAGATCATATAGGCATGAGAATCCACTGAGGTGTCAATTATCCAGCACCTAAATGGTACCCAGGAGTTGCACTGTCTTTGTGGATTGTACCTTTCACTATTATAAAGTGAACCTCATGTCCACCTGTAATGAGATGAAGATAACTTAAGAGGGGATGAAAGCAGGGAAAAAGTATTAACTATTTGCCATGACCTTGACATGATAAAGGGGGCAGAAGATACTAGCAGTAAGGATTAGAAAAATGAACCAGGTGGAAATGCTGTGAAGATAGATTTCAGTCTCACTTTTCCGAGCAATCTAAGACATTATAATTTCTTGCTACAATTAGCTCCTCATTGTATATGCTTCCCTTTTGTTCTTAAACTGTCTCCTCTAATATCTCACACTGTTAACTACTTAGCCTCTGGCAGAGAAAAGAATATGTCAAAGTAATTTAGGTATAATGTAATGAACCAGCCCACTTCTAGACACACGCCCGTTCAATTTCTTACATGATCAATTCTTCAGTTCACTGCAATAGGGAACTATTCTGAAGCTGCTGCCCAAGAATAAGGAAAACAGTAATATTATGTGCCTTCTACATCAAAATCAAAAGGCTAAAAAGACAGGGCTAACTACATAAGAGGCATAAACTAAGCTCCAATATGAGAGGCTATGGAGATATATAAATAAATTCTCATGGAAGTCCTGGATCACTACTTCTCACAAAGTACTCTGCAAACATGACATCCATAACAACTAGACTGACTGCAAGTCTAAATCAAACTCCCCATCAGCGTGCCCTTCAACAACTGAATCAATGTGCTGGCAAATTTTCTGCCCACCAAATACCTTGTGCTGTTTGGTTCTGGGGGCTAAGTCTCCATGGACCAGCCTAGAATGGCAGTGGCAGGGGACTTACCAGGTTGTCCAGCATCCTCATAAGGGCCTCAAACTCGTGCTCCCCCAGGCGGCTCTTCTGCATGGGTCCAAAGGTGTTCCCGGCCCACTGCACGGAGCCCACCTCGTGGGGCCGATGCTTCTCCTGCTCCAGGAGAATGAGGTTCTCCACTCCCCCAGCACTGGATAGAGCCGACACCTGCAGCAAGGAGAGCCAGAGCCCATGTGCACACGGGAGCCCACCCTCGTCTGTGCCCCTGCATGAACTGGGACCAAAGGGGCCACAAGCGTGAACTCAAAAGCCAGAACAGGTGGGAAACTGAGGAAAAGCCACGCAAAACTTGTTGGCATGCACCCATTCCAAGGGATTAGTCTTTCCTTTCCCGATCTCAGCTCCCAGAGAATAGAGAAAAGAAATAGCAAGTGTTAAACCCTCAGAATAAAAGGATACAGAGGACTGAAAAGCTAAGATAAAGACCAATTTAGACTTGTGATTATTTCTGGGAAGAGAAGGGAGGAGGATGAAATTGAAAAGGCTCCAAAGAAGACTTTAATTCTTGTCTGTAACATTTCTTGAAGAGGAAAAATATTTGAAGAAAAAGACTATTAATATTGGTTAAATCTGAGTCGTGGGTGTCTATTATGCCCTTCTGTGTATTCTTCTATATGTTTGAAATCTTTCTAAGTTTCTTAAAAGAAATAGGGTGGTTTCTAGGCCAGTGAAATTGGAGTATAACCTGATGGGAAGGATTAACAGATCTAAAAGAAAACTTACAGAATAGTACCGCCCTCTGTGGTACTCTTGCCCAGACAAGACAGCCCAGGAAAAGGAGACAAAGAAAATGTTTACAGTGCACAGCCAGCAGTGTGTAGGTTTAAAGGGTTTTATCCAGGAACGTAGAGTGTCTGTTCCATGGTCAAAGCCCCATGGGAGGATATAGGTGGTTGCAGGCAGTGGATTTGGAATAACAGGACAAAAGAGATGTATATACAGCAAGACACATTAGAATGATTCTTAAAACCATTCATTTAACTAATCTTATGTTCCAATTGCATGCTCATCTGAGAGTATGTTCTATGGACTCCACATGTCCAGCACTTGCATGTAATGAGTCAGGATTTAGCTTTCTGATTAAGTTCGGCTACAGAGAGAGAGTGGCTCTTGGGCAATCTCACTGGACTGAGCCAGGCAGTCTGTGCTGTGCACTAAGCCATTTGTCACCCCGAGTTAGATTGGATATTTCACGTAAGCATGCTATTCCCGGGGAGCTGCTCTGATTACATACATTTGCAATTATTTGGTGTTTTGGTGTTGTTATTTTTTATTGAAGATCCATTTAGCCTGCTGACAAATGTGGGCCTATGGACCTATGAAGATCTAAACAGTCCCTCAGGTCTCACATATTCCCATGCTTATCAGATGTCCCTATAGTGTTCCTTGGAGGTCAGCCAGGCAACCTGCTAGGTGAACCCCTAGAAAAGAAGAGGGAGGAAGAAGATTTTCCACACCCTTCTCACCTAAGACACCTGTCCACATGTCCACGTGACTGTTCTCACCGATCCTGCTCCAGAGAGGCAATGCCAGGTAGCCTAGAAGGGCGTGAACTTAGGTGTCAGTCTACCTGGGTTTTAATCCTGGCTTTGCTACTTCCTGTGTGATTTGGGACAGTTATTTACCACCTGTAGGCCTCCAGTTTCCTCATCTGTAAAATGAAAACAGCAGTATCTACCTTGTAAGGATTCTTAAGATAATGATTGTAAAGCACTTAGAAGAGCCCCTGGTGCTTAAGGAGTGCCCCAGGAGTGTTAGCAGTAAATGAATGAGATGCAGACTCCTCTGGGACTGGTCATTAATGGAGAAGGAGAGAGAAAGGGAGGCAATGGTTCATAATCTTGCAAGAGCTGCCTCCTCCCCACACCATCTTCCTCCACTGGTTTCCATGGTGATGGGTAACAGATGGAAAAGAATTGCCTTTGCATCTTCCCATCTGCCTGTGAGCAGAACAGGGAGCTGCCTTTCTCAGCTAGGAATGACCCAGTTTCCCGGAACCCCAAATTGATGGAGAGCAAAGAAAACACAGTCTTCAGGAGAACTGAACAGGCACTCAGCCTTGAACCACAAACATGACCACAGCCACATCTGCATGTTTGCCAACATCACAGAGGGAGAAAACAAGGCCGATGTGGAAACAAGCTTCAGTGATGGTCACTTCGCTGCAATGACCCCAGTGAGACCCAACAGCACCTGCAGCTTGCTGCTACATGTGCTCTTCATGGCCTGACCCATTGGCCTTTGGTGTAATTTTCTAAAGAATCTTCTAGCTCTGTTCCTCCCTCCAGAACCCTCTCTTCCCATCAGCTAAAAAAAAAAAATATACATATATTGAAGCTTTACTGCAGGCTAGATGACTGCACAGCCTGAGATACTTTAACAAGGTCAAATCAAATCCATCCTAAATATTAAGTGACAGCAGTCAGGGGTTTGTCAGGACAATGGCCAGCAGCACTGCCCTTTGATTACAGATGGCCATTCTGATTTTGATTAAATTACCTAGTGGCCACTGCTGGGGTCAAGAGGCTGGGCTGTCTTTGAGATGAATGAAGTTTCTCTGTAAGCTAGTTGCTTAGAGAAGCCTCTTTTCCAAAGGCAAGATGGAGAGCTTTGAGCAGTGTGGGTTGGGAAGGGAAGAAGGCTTCTCTTTGTAGCTGAGGCTCTGGGGGGTCCTGCCACCAGTAAGTGGACAGAGTTTTGGATTATACCATTGGTTGGGGGGCGCCACATCAGAGAGGCACTACCTGTGTCCTGGCCTGTCCCACGGTCTCCACTTCTGCCCACCGCTGCTAGAGGTTGGGCATTGGACTCTCCTTGCTTCCTCCAACGCCTCTGCATTATGGGCTTCATAACTGTATTTGCAACACAGTCATCTAAAAACTGTTGAAAGGGCACCTATGGGTGCCTTTGCCAGTGAGGTACCAGCCTCTACCATTCTTCTCTCAGAAGGCTGAGAGAAAGGTGGTTGGCTTTCATATGGTGCCCTTCTGCCAGGGTCCATAGAGACACCCACCAAAAGGGCCCAGCAAAGAGCTAAGGCATCCTGCAGCAATAGGTCTCTCCTGCCATGAACTGAGTCCTAAAAGTACCCCTCATGACGCTTCTCTTTGTCTGAAAAGCCTCGTCCCCACAGTAACCCTCTGGCCCCTATGTCTACAGTTGAGAAAAAATGAATTTCAGATAGCAAATGTGCTACCCAAGGACACACAGCTGGAGCCCAGTCAGGCTGGGAACAAGTCCTCCAGGGCTGGCCAAGACTCTCCTCACCATGATCAACTGGCCACACTGAGTGTGTGTGTGGCTGATCCAGTGAGCAAACTACACAATGAACTCCCTGGACATCGTCTTAGGACTGCCTAGCTGTTCAGGTGGCCATGTCACCACTCCAAATGGCCAGCCCCCAACTTCTCTTTCCAAATTTGACTGTGTTGTTGACTTTTGCAAAACCCCCACCTCCACTCATTCCAATCTGTTACAAAGAAATAAAGTGGGCACAGCCAGGTGGAGCAGGCATACCCAGGCCACATACGAGCATGGTAAAGACTTGCTGTATCCTTGGCAGTTTCTCCCCTGTCTACCTGATGAGCCCAAGTAACTCTGTCCAGGCTCTAAGCTCCTAGAGTTGGGTGGAAAATGGCGCTTAGTTTTTCTAAGTCATGGAACTGACTTTATGTGTGACATTTTAGAAGTGTAAGGTGATGCAAAAGCAAAGAAACAGGGTGAAAATTTTGGAAGACTGGGCTCAAAGGTGTCCCTGACTCACAACCAGCAGGGCCACCACTATTCCCACAGACTTCATCAGAGCCAACTCCCAGAGAACTTGCTCACCTGAATCTCACAGGCAGCCTGCAGGTGGAAGACTTTGTAAAATGCCTCCTCTACGGTGTCACCTAGAGCAACCACGCCATGGTTTCTTAGCACCAGGATCTATGGAGGAAGAAACAGCCAATTAAACCCCAAGCTTGGGAAAAGTACTTCAGAGAGAGCTACTGCATTTTATGTAGATTAATTTCTATATTCAATCCTAGAGCCCCCAAGTTATTGTGTATTATTATTCCTAATCAAACACCCCAATGTGTTTGACATGTGCTTTTAACTAAGGCTTCTACCCTAAGAAACTGAAGAGGATTTTAAAAACTGAGACCATCCAGCCTGATTGGTTGCTTTGGACAATGCCTGGATTTTAGGCCTTGGAGAACTCCTAATTTTCAAAAATTGGTGTGAATGAAATTATTTGACATCTAACACAAGGGTCAAACCTCAAAAGTAAGATCTTGCCCCGGTGACTTTACTAATTTGGGGGTCAAAATTCAAGAGGGTGGTTCTGTGAGAGCTGGTTCTCCAGGAACAAGTGAGTCACATTATCTCTTTTGACCTCCAACTTTTCCTTCACAAACTCGGTGAGGCCCTGACTGGTACAAGATCACACAGTTCTAGGAAAGAAGTAGCCTTCTAATCTACCTGATCTTATAGATTAGGAAGTAGAAATCTAACTAGAGGACTTCTCTGGATAATTAGGCAAAATCTGAACTAGAACCAGAGGTTCTCACTATTGGTGCAATGTTTCTGACCTTGCTGGGGCCAGGTGGGGCAGGAGACCTGAAATGAATTCGCACCAATAGCACAACTCCCCAGAGGCTTAAACTTCCCTTCCTGGAAACATTCTTTGGTTGGTTTTAGCCTCAAGAACTCTAGAACCAGACAATGCCTATATGGGATCTAAAACACAGCCTCACGTGTCAGACCCATTCTTGCAGAGCCTACCCAGGCTGAGGCCTCACAGCCCGGAATACCACGTCCTCTCTTGCCACATACAGCTGGAGGTTTATCTTTCAAGGACCAGAGAAATGGAAAGAGACAATGACTCTGACCCACCAAAGATATCAGAGACAGCAAGTGCCGCCTCGTATAGCACCCCTCTCCCAGCACTGCTAATGACACTTTGGAGGGTATTGGGAGATTGGTGGGGCTTCTCACTCAGCTTAGAGCTGGGGAGATGGGGACTCAGACAGGAAGTGAGTTGGACAGTGAATGCCTTGCCAGGATGGCAGCAAGCCACCAACCCAGGCTCATTTTTGAAGCCCTCCCATAGCAAGCTGAGCACCCCCACATATGCACTGTTACACGAACTACATATATGCCAAGCAATAATAAAGTCCCATTTTTCTCCAGCAAGTTGGCAATAAACAAATGAATAAATAAGTGTGATAAAACTCAAATTTAGGGAGATGGCAGGAGAATAGTACTCTTTATATTGGGGGAAGGGAGACACTCTTTGTAGGGGGCACAAAGAAATTTGTCCTAAGGAAATCACCTCATGCACACACAGACTGGCTCGAACGATTTTTATGAGTGCTTATATTAAGAGAAAATTCAGAGGGCAGGGAGACCAGCTATGACCTGCAAACACAGAGGTTTATTCAGGAAAACAGTGGCATAGCCATTCACATAATGAGGCATCATTTAACAGTTTAAAATAGTGACAGAAAAAATAATGACATACAAATGTGTCTACTATACATTGCTAAGGAAAGGGAAGATCTTATTTTATGATTCCAGTTATATAAATATATGTGAACTCACTAGGGTGAGAACCAAAATCTCAGAGCAGTGTCAGAGAGATTTTTTTCCTTTTCTTCCTTTTAAAAAAGCTACCTGCAATATCTAAACAATTTCCAAAGAATGCATGTCACTTCGGTGACACTGGTTTTTCACAGTGCCACTCCAGAACATCCTCCCAGAAGGGCTGTGCAAACCTTGCAGGTGGGTCCAAGGCACTTCTGCAGGTTGACACGATCAGCTTCCTGCTCCATTTCCCCATTGAAGTCGTAATAGGCCATGTCCCCCACCAGCAGGGCATTGTGGGAGACGGGCAGGAGGCCCCACTTCATGGCTGACACCTGTAGGGAGACAGTGGGATAGGGGGTACCTGCAACCTCCATCCTGCCAGCACATCTTCCCTTCCTGAGAGCAGCACAGGCCAGCTCCAATCTGGGGTCCACGGAGTTGAACGAGGATGAGAAAGGCCTTGGCATCCTTCTCTACCTGCTCAGGAGGTCTGTCTTTCATACAACGGGCTCTAATGTCTCTCTATTGGTTTTCATAACAGGGTACTAGCTGTCAGAATGGCTGGACAGAATGTACAGAAGGAAGCCATGTGGTCCTGCTGTTGTTTACACTTGCCTTGGGACTCTGAGAAGAGAGAGGTATGCAGCAGTTCGTGCCAGGCTGGGGTGAGCAGGGCCCAGGTCCTCTGGGATGAGTCACTGGAGCCCCTCAGCCTTTGTTTTAGTGTAGAAATAACCATGTCTCCTTGCTCTAATAGACAAGACCATTTGGAAACCATAATTTAAGGCCCCGAGAATAAGACTGTAACCCACACACCAACCTCTTATTAAAGCAAGGAGCATGGAAAGGCTTAGCAGGGACCTTGTCCTCCTCCTTTCTTTCTGCCCGTGATATACATGGTCCCTTGCTCAGCGCAAATACACCATCAAGTTAGTCCAAATTCTGGAAGCTCTGAGCACTCACAACTGGTGCGGGTCACTGAGAAAACAACAGCCTGGTCAGAAGTCTGCCTGCCCCCGTAGGTGTGTGGCCTGGCGTCCAGTAGGATGGGGTGAGGTTTGGGCGATGCCTGAACTTACCGTCTGCTATCTACTGCACGGTAACTTAGATGCACGTGGAGAAATGACCAGAGACCCTAGGGGGACAGCCTGCTTCTTAAGCTTTTGCCTTTTCACCTTCCCTGAGTTTTACATGCTCCTGTCCCCAGCTCTCAGCTACTCTAAGGTTTAGAAAGTTGGAAACGTTCAGTTTTCTGCCTGTTTGATAACCTCTGTCAAGATTTCTCCTCCCAGGCTGGGCACGGTGTGCACCTGTAATCCCAGCATTTGGGTGGCTGAGGCAGGAAGATCGTCACAAGTTCAAGGCCAGCATGGACTACATAGCAAGGTCAAGGCCATCCTGAACTACGTGGCAAGATCCTGTCTAAAAAAGAAAGAAAGGAAAAAAAAAAAGATTTCTCCTCCCAGAGCCTGGGCTGTGTGGCAGCAGGTGCAGCTCCCACCCATATGATTTAAGTAGAAACTCGGAAGGCACAGGCCCTTCGGTGGGTGTCCCAGCCTGTGAGGGTAGCACAATGGAGGACAGTGAGAGACATGTCCCACATCTTACCTTATATCAACACTGTGGTAGTTAGAAAAAAGAAATGGGGGTTTGTACATTGAGAATTTTCTCTCCTCACCTTGGTCTGAGTTCCAGAACTTTCTAAACTGTTTCAGTGAGACCACCAAGAGGGAGAATGTTAGAGACATGGATCCTCTGGGTCTGGCAGCTACACTAGGAGCTTTCATGGGGCCAGGCGGGCACCCACTCACCGCTGCCGTGGCCGGTGTGTGCAAGTGGATGATGCACCGCACGTCGGGCCTGGCTGCATAGATGGCCGAGTGCAGACAGAAGCCTGTGGTGTCCACCGGAAAGCAGCTGCTGCCTTTCTCCACCACCTCTCCCAGGATGTTCACCTTGATCTGGACCAGGGAAAAGAGAGACTTAGAGCGACAGGACAGCAGGGACCCTCGCTCCTCTAGGGTAGGTGGGCCCAGCACTCGCCACCCACGTCCAGGCACTCATTCCAGATGCCAGAACAACTCTGGGCACAGTGTAGGGGAACAATGTGAGTCCTGTTCTCAGTGAGAGTCGTCTCAAGGGTCACAGGTGACTATAATGCAGCAGGGAAAACGCTAGAGCAGAGTTTCTCAAACCTCACTGTACGCATGAATCCCTGGAGTTCCTGTCAGTGCAGATGGCTCACAGAGTCTGGACTCCTAGCCACTTCCCAACTGATACCCAGGCTGTGGTGCTTTTTGAGTATCAAGGAACTATAAGAGAGTCATTCACAGAATTCTCTAGAAGCAGAGAGGAGGAGCCTTTAACACGCAGAGCAGCAGAATCAGAAGCCTTCCTAAAGGACATCATGTTTAAGTTGAGCTTTTTCAATTTCTGAAAACTTAAAAATCATACACAAAGATAAAGAGATCAGTATACTGAACACCCGTTGACCAATCACCCAGAAGCTAGGTTTTAAAGGACAAGTGGAAGGAAATCACGGCTTTATAATCTGCTTCTGACTACAAAAGATAGTGCATACCATAGCTTAACATAAAAAGAAAGAAAAAGAAACCACACACTCATATGTAAGTACGTGTATGTGTGCACATGTGTGTAAGAAACAGAGCACGATGTGACTGGAAGTTGGCCATGGCATTCCCTACCTAACATAAACAACTTCTCAGCTCGTCAACATCAGAGGTTACTATGACTGCGAAACAGGAAGACAAATCATCTTTCAACTCAGGCGACATCACTGTATACATGCAGAAATGAGCAACAGCCCCTTTTCTTGCTAACAGGAGGGAGTGTTCCTGCTTTACCAGTGACAGGTAAAGCCTCATTCCATGTCCCGACATCCTACACAGAAACTGATAACATCAGGTAAGACTGAGTAATCTTAGAGTTAGTATTCCATTCTGATAGCCCACTCCACAGCCACGCCTTCTCTGAAACACTAATCAGCAAACATAAAAGAAATTCTCACAAGATACTCTTGCTAAACACATACCCTGATTCCCTATGTGCAATTTCCCTGAACCTAATCTAACTCACTGACTACAGCTGTTCTCTAAACATTAAGAAGCTAGATTAGAGTTTCTAAAAATCATTACTGCAATTTTGGCTCTAAAAATTGAAGAACCCATGACATCTTGAAACTAGCATGTAGAGCAGTTCGGAAATTGCCTACGTATTCCAGAAAGCCCTAAAAGACAAGATGGGGACCAAAGGAGGTAGGCCCTGTATGGGGTAAGGGACATGTTATGGACATCATCTGCTAATGCAGGAGCATCAGCAAGATGTAAAATAAATTCCTTCTTGAGCAATTCTATTATAAGTAAGTTTTATAAAATAAACATGACTTCAAATTGACCTGATCCCTGAAACTGACAGCAATTCTCTTGCCTCAGGCACCCAAGTGTCCGATGGTGACTTTTGGTTTCCCTTCAGCTCAGCTGCCCGAATCCTCAGATACGTGGCCAGTCAGAATTTCCTCTCTGGTATGATCCCTCTCTAATCACATGCATTCTTTATCTCATCTTTGCATATATGATTTGCTGTCACCAAGAATCTTTACAGCCTAACCTTAGTAGAGATTACAGCCTAACCCATATGGTGCCTTTGTACAAATTAGGAACCAGGTCCTCTCTCTGAGGACAGGCCCAGGGACACAGAATGCTGTCCTTACACAAATTAAAAAAAAAAAAGCCAAGTGTCAAGACATATAGTACTTATTGAACAAAGCACAAGTTGATTTTATCCTTTCCTCTTTAGCATCAGCCAGGCTCCTCTGTACAGTGCCTAATCTGTACAGCGGTGCACAGCAGAACTCAGTCTACACGCATTTTCTGAGCAGCTCATGCCCATGACGCTCAGACCTGTATCTTGAAGCTAAATCTCTTCCAAAATTACAAACCACATATCCAACTGACCATCTCCTGAATGTCCACACAACTTTTCAACCTTGACCTCAATTCCCAAACCAGCTGATCACCAGGCCCGGTGAACATGCAGGACCAAGTGTTTTTTCTCTGCTTACTATAAATGGACTAACTAATTGTCCTGATGTCATTTGGCACCCATACCTCTGTCAGAGGAATCTTCGTATAATGGTAACCCGATCGCCTCACTCTCCTCCTTATAATACTTCAGTGGCACCATACATCCAGCAGAACAAAGTAAAAAAAGCTGCAGTATCTCTCTGGGCACCAGTCCAGTATCCTTCTCCCGATACAGTGGCTTTGGCCATCCTTCAAGTCCTCTTCTGCCTGGATATTCTGCAGCTTTGTCATCATGGACTCTGGACTTGAGTCCTTGGACTCTACACTTGAGCACACCTTCAGTGTGGCAGCAGCCCCTGGGGTGGTGTCCTCTTCTTTCAGGTGCCTGGGATGGCACAGCAGCCACCACAGTCCATGCAACTGAGAAGGACGGGGCTTTCTGCTTTTGTTTTGTACTGCGGATCAAACTCATGACCTCACATTTGCCAGGCAGGTACTTATGCCGCTGAGCTAAATCCCCAGTCCTAAGATGGTTCTTTCCACTGCCTTCCTCCTCCCACCCAGAAATCTTTTCTGATCTACACTACCTTCTAGAAGTCTCTCCTACCCCACCTAAAAGGAGCAGCACTGAGAGGGACCCAGAAGCAACCTCTCATGGCCCTGTGCTTTGGTTCTTGTTCCTACTGTGTCTCCCATCCACGAAGGCCCCAACTCCCACCTTCGGTGCAGTCCCAGGCTGAGCCCACTGGGCTGTCTCCTCTCCCCCATCCCTCCTGTTATGTCCCCTGCCTGCACCTTGCCTTGGACCTGTTGGTCACATCATTCTCTGAGAGCTTATTTGTTCCAAGTGTCTTCTCTGCCCCCACTAGATTGTGAGCTGCACGAGGGACAGGACGACAGTGGCTAATCTGGAGATGACCTGTCACTGCAGGAGCAGAGGAAGTTCTGCTATCTCAATAAGGACAGTGAGATAGCAGGTAGCACTCACCAGGCTGGACGCCGTGACTTCACTGCAGGAAACTCCTTTAGGGCTTATCAGGAAGTGGTCCTGCTCCTTGCTGACTCTCAACTGAAGGAAAGACACACATTCTCAGAGACAAATAGAGAGATGGGACATTTTCAAGGACACTGCATTTGAATCTCTTCTTCTCCTGAATTTATTGTGCCCAAATATTCCTCCAGTGAATCTTTCTCTTTACCCCTACCATTAAGACACGAAGAGGACTTGACCTTTATTTAGAGCTGGGGAAATAGAGCTACAAGAGGAATCTTGAAATCTTTAAGAAAAGCCCCAGATACAGGATCCAGGAATTCCTGCTCCCCATCCAAAGATGTACCCACTGGGTAAGTTTCTATTTCAGTGGCCACAATAGTTAGAAAACTTAGAAAAGTTCATTGCATTTTGGCCAAAGGCCACCAACAGCGCTATGGCCATGTCACGGGTCAGGAACTCTCCCTCTGGATTTGGTGCTCTCCTTACCGTGACGTAGGTATCGCTCAACTGGGCCCAGCCGTAGAGGTCCAGGAGGCGGTAGACACTGCTGATCTTGCATCGCATGAGCCGCTCTCCCTTGGCCAGGTTCAGGGAGTCAGCGGTGTGGAGGTCATTGATTGGTGTCATCATGGAGAAGTCTGCAGAGGACAGCACCAGGGACAGTGCTGCTCACTCAAGGTCAGGAGCTTGCATCAGCCACCCCCCCCCATTTCCTGTCCTAGGCTTCTTCAAAGTCTCCCTGGGCCTACAACTGCACAAGAAGCATTGCTGGGCAGAGGATTCAACACTTTTACCCTTACCCAGTGAAGAAAGTCCACAGACTAGATATCCATGCTCAAAAAAGCTTATAGTCAAAACTTATGCAAGACTTAGGTTTACAGAATGAAAGGTCCCTGGAATGCTAAGATTATCATAAATCCTAACAATGGACATTGAATAAAGGCAACAATAAATTTCTAGTAGAAATACAAGTATATTTCATCAGTTAGTTCTATTAAGGAAGTTACTAATCATGAGATCAGTCAGGTTGTTTTAATTATTCCATGCAATATAATTTTTCTCTAATTTGGAAAGACAGCAAACAAAAAGCCAAGTCAGCCAGGAAGTACATCTGTCAACTTCTCCTGAGTAATTTTTAGGAATCATAAAACCCTGGTCAGGGGCTGGCTGAAGGGCCTGAAGCTTCTGTCAGGGCATATCTGCTCCTCCTTGGGCATGCAATTCCTTGGTTATATGATAGTTCTTTTAGGAAACTGTGGATGGCAAGTGGAAAGAACTTGGAAACAGCCCTACAATTTTTGATAGTTTTATTCTCAGAACACGCAAAAGCTCTAGGATTTGATGTTCTGTCTACTCCATTAACATGATGTCCAGGCCTTGGGTAGGGAGAACAAGGCATTTGAGACTCTACCCCCACACTCAGATTAATCAGAGTCTGGGAACCAATAAAATAAATCAATAAGAAAGGATTCTAGCTTAAAGTGATATCTGGTTAAGAGCCTCCTGAAGCTGTCCATCCCAGCTCCCCTCTAAAAATTTTAATGGATTAAAAGGCTCTTTGGAAGCTTCAGGCATCTCTGCCAACTTCTCTGCTATGCAATGTGATGTATGTCCTGCATCAGGCTTGCTGTTAGTTGAAATGATGAGATGGTCTGAAAATATGAGGGTGGATTATATGAAGCTAGGCCATATCCAGCAAGCACGAAACATGCCCTGCACAGCCCAGGTCAGGGAAATACGGCAAAAAGGAAGGCACATCAAAAGCACTGGCCCCAGGCAAAGCCAGACAGGTGAGACTGGTCTGGGGAGGGTCTTCAGACCCAGTGTTCTTTGAATTTATCTCTTACGAGTAACTCTGGGGCTCCAGAAATGGCCAAGAGGCCAAAACAGATCTGAAAACATTCACTCCATTGCATCCTCTGTGTCAGCCTCACAGAAAGTCTCCCTGCCGTGTCCTGTGGAGCTTCAACTACAAGAATTACCTTACCCACAGGACTTACGGACAAGAGACAAGAATAGACTGTACAGCAGTTCCCAAGTCTCCACTTTCAGGATCTTAACGTACAAAATACTTATTCTGACCAGATTCATGAAAGTTAGGGTGACTGAATGTGATGTATGGGAAGCAGATCTACCTGGGCCATGTATTCAGTGTACCCAAGAAAACAAAGAAAAACATGAAAACTCAACCCACTCCCCTTGAAGTTAATATTGAAGGGCACCCTAATGCCAACCCACCCTTTCCTCACCCCCAAATTCTAAGGCGAATGCAGTTAGATAGGTAACACCAAATCTGGGCTTGAATGGCACTGGGAACCTCCTTTCTCTGTATCTTTCACTTTTGATATCACACACATGTACTCATCAAATTTTTGTAAGCATCCCATCACTTTCCCCTTGCAAGATGCTGATTAGTGAAGCAATGACAATGCTAGTTACCCCTATGCATCCATCAAATGTAAGAGTATAAAGACAAGACATGAAAACAGTGACAGAGAATATGAGGGATACAAGAGGCAAAACCCAGAGGACCAGCATAGAGACCATCAGTGCTGATATAATAGAAGAAAATTTTGCAGAACTGAAATAAAGACCTTGCATATAAATTTTAAGAACCTGTTACATTTTAGGGCAAAGAAAGCTCATAAAAATTATATGCTTCTGAACACCATTTCTAAAATACAAATTTAGAGAAAAATCCACAAGTACCTAGAAATAAATCGGGTTACGGACAAAGAAATAAAAATAAGTTGTCTCAGACTTTTCTGTTACAGCCAAATAAGCTGAAAAGGCAGAAAGCACTGAAGTACCATAAAACAGATAAAAATAAAAGGAAGATCAAAAGTGTACCAGACAAATAAAAAGAAATAATAAAAAGAGGTAACAATATTATTAGCACAGTAGAATTGCACAAAACAATATTCTCCTAGACAAAAAGAGCCATTTTGAAAGTCATTTTATGTGAAAGGTATAACCCATAATGAAATTATGGATAAAATAAACTTATGCTTTGGATAGTATTTCATCAAATTATGCAAAGCAAAAATCATCAAAAATACAAAGGGAAATGAACAGAAGCCCAACACAGTAGAAAACAGCATAATTTCCATTTTTAAAAACAATCAAATGAAAATGGAAATAGAGATTAATTAGTATGTCCTAGAGATTGTCTATAACTATATGCAATTTTAAAAGAATATTATTTGGCCACAAACAAGCTTCAAAAATCCCCAAAGCAGAAAACAAATAAGATATATTTTCTAAACATAATGCAATAAAATCTGATATTACTAACAAATCTTTAAAAGAACACACATTCAACCATTAGAAATGAGAAAACACACTCCCTGGCAGCTCTTTAAAAAATAAAAGTGAACAGGTTTGGGATAGAGCTCAGGGACAGAGCATGGGCTTACCATGTGTGAGGTGCTGGGTTCAGTCCTAGCACCATCAAATAAGTGCATAAAGTCAAAACAGCAACTGCAAACTATCCAGAAATTAACAATAAAGGAAATATTGTGAATTCATAGTTATTCTAAACCTACACCCAGAAAAAATAAAATATTTATATGAAAATAAAGCAAATTTAATTTATTCTAGTCTAGAAAAAAAAATATAAAGAACACAGCAAACCAATGAAAAGTTATTGAAAAGAATTCATAGATATAAAAACAAAATTAACAAATTAAAAATCATAAAAAATAGTAAAACCAATAATTAAATTCAATATGTGAGAAGATCTCTGAATAAACAAACATCTGAATACATCAGTAAAGAGAAAAGCGAAATATACAGGAGCAGGAATAAGAATGGGACATCATTTCATCCACAGCACAAAATGTAAATGAAAAAACAAAGTAAACCACCTTAACAATTTCAAAAAATAAAATGAATTATTTCACACAAAATATATGAGCAAAATTGGGGATTTAGCTTAGCAGCACAAACACCTGCCTGGCAAGCATGAGGCCATGAGTTCAATACATGATATTTAAAAAAAAAAAAAGATGTGGTATTTTTATGCAGTGGAATATTACTCAGCTATAAAAAAGAATAGCTCAAGGGTCATAGGTAAATGGAGGCAACTTGAGACTATCCGCAGAAGTGAAATAAATAAGAATCATATTTATAAATATCACATTGTGTCTCTAGTGTAAAAAGTAATAAGAACTGTAGGAGTAACAAAACCCAAAATGTGTAATTGTTATTGTAAAAAAGAGAGAAAAGAAAGTGTTCTAAAGTATAACTGCATGTGTGTTTAACCGTGTAGGATAGATGACCAGATTACTAAGTTTTTGTTGGATCCTTGAACAGAACTGTTCACAGTCTCACTGTTTGAATGTCCACTTTGTATGCTTTACTTTTATAACTTGAACAACTATTTCTAAGATGACAGTATATCATTTATCAATTAGTAACTTCTTACTGTTTTTTTGAAATTCTGTATTATTACTACCCTTCTTTGTTTTGCTTTTTTTCTCTAAATAAAATTTAAATATATATTTATATATGTTGAGCAAAATTTACTGAAGAAACAGAAAAATACATTTTTTAAAAAACTGTCGATGAAATTAAAGAGAAAATGTCAAAGATGCCTAATAATGTTCCAGATCTAGATGGTTTTACAAGTGAGAAATACATCTTCAAGAAACAAAGACTTCCTCTGTTATGTAAACTCCATGAGGGCAAAGAGCAAGGTGGGATTACCCTGGTCCATATTATGAAGTTATATCTTTCATACCACTATTAGATGGAAACTGCCCCAAATCTGAATTGCTGACCAACCTCAAGTGTGAGCACGGACCCCAAAATCTATAACATTCTAGCAAATCAAATTTAGAAGAACATTTTTAAAAGACTGTCAAGACCAGAAATTATTTATTTCAGAAATGAAAAAAAGCAAGAGTTCAATACTCAGAGTTCTATTACTCTAACTCATCACAACAATTGTTCAAGGAAAGAAAAATCAATAATGCCCAAAATGCATTTTACAACATTTAAAATCTATTTCTGAGAAAGACCTCTAATAAACTACAATAAAAAGATATTTCCTCAACATGATAAAAAATAATTATCTCAAACTCTGTGGTAAAAGAATTTCCACTAATGTCAAAAACAAGACAAGGGTGACTGGTCTCTCATATATTATTAAACATTGTTCGGAAAGTGCTAACGGGGTAAAATGAGAAAATTAAAAAAATCAAAGGGCAAACGTTGGAATGATGAAGGCAAACTTACCATTAATCTGCAGATTAAATGATTTTCTATATATAAAAATTCAAGAGAATTTATATAAATATGTATGTAAATCCAGAAAGAAAATTGAATGGAAAATGATTTATTTAAAATAAAAAAGCTACATAAAGTTTCCTAGATAAATTTAAGACAGTAGTAACTACATAAAAATAGCTATCAATCTTTTCTAATGGGCATTAAAGAAGACTTAAAAGTCCCTCACTTCTGAAAATATTTAAAATTCATTCATGCAAATATTTTTAGAATACTTCCCAGTGTGTTAGACACTATTCTAAGTCCGGAACCCTATTCTAGGAAACAGTATCAAATGTATAAATTTCTAGAATATGTAAAAATTTCCCCCATGAAGCTTATATTCTACTATAAGATTATAAATCTGTACATTCCCCACTAAATCATTCTTTTCATCGCATGCAATTCCAATCGAGCTCCCAAAAGGATTTGTTAAGGTCAATGGGGGTGGGGCTTGACAATTCTAAAATTATTTTAAAGAACAAACTTGTGCAGACATTCAAGGAAAATTAGCAAATAAAACATGGGGAAGGTGCCTCTGAGCATGCATTCAAAAACAGAACCCAAAAATAATAATAATAGATTCAACTATGGGAATGAAAGAACACAAGGCGGAAAGGAAAAAAAGCACACCATGAGAAAATTAAGCAGCAAAGGAAAGTTAGAAAAATAATTGCAGTATGTTGGAAATATAATAGGGAAATACTGTTAATTTGTAAAGATTTGAAAATCTATAAGAAAAATATAGCAACGGCAAAATTGGCACAGGATGCAAACAAGCAATTTACTGCAAAAGAAAATCATTGTGTCCAATATGGATATAAACACGTGTAATATACCCACTCTCATTAGTGATAAAATAAACAAATATTAAAATTCAAATAACCAATAAAAAATAAAAACTGAAAGGAAGTAAAACAAAACAAAAGTATTTATAACCTCTAAAATCAGGAGGATAAGACACACCATAGTATATACTACAGATCAGGCTGAAGGAATGGGCACTGTCAGTGCTGGGGATGTAAAATAGTTCCATCTTTATCTAGGATGGAGAAAGAATCTAACTGGTCAATACGCATAAAAGTCTTTTAAATATGGTCCAGCAGTTGTACTCTTTGTTTTATATATATATATATATTTTTTTTTTTTTTAATCAGTAGTGGGGATCGAACTCATGACCACGCACTTGCAAGGCAGGTGCTTATGACGCTGAGCTAAATCCCCAGCCCTGTAGTTTATATTAAGAAAATACTGACAGATAAAGTCACAGATTTATTTAACAAGATATTTACTGTGTATTGTGTGTAATAGCAAAAAGTTGAAAACAATCAAAAAGTCCAATAATGAAAAATTAATTAAATAGCATTTATCCACTAAAAATTAAATTGCAGGATCATATTTTATTAGGTGAAAGATTAATGTTATTAAAATTGTATGTATAATGTGATTATATTGCTTTTGCATATCTATATACACTGAGAAAAGGGTTGAAAAGATTCACATCAAAATAGTGATAGTAATAATTTATAAGTTTTAAGAACCTTGATTATTTTCTGACATCATCCTATATCACTGTTGAGGGATATATTTTTTTTAATGTTTATTTTAAAACATCCATTATGGGTGGAGCTTTACAGTCTAAAAAGTAGACTCAGGCGTAGCCCCGGATCTTCTCAGGGCTCATCTGTGGAGCCACGCTGGCCAGTCCAGTGGGACATGGGAACACTGGTTTTGATGGTCTCTCTTCATCTCTTGAAGTCACCTCCACCCCTCCCCTTCCTGGCATCCTGGATAACTCTTCTGTGGGTCTTTAATTTGCAGCAACATCAAAAGCAGAGCCAGACACCTCTCTGGCTTCTGCTGAGTTCCCCCAGGCCTGCTAATGAAACTGCACACTTGTACTGTCGCCTGGCAACCAGCTTCTTGCAGCTCCTGCCTCTCCTCCTCACCCCACCCAGCGTCCCTGCTCCTGGCAGCTCCCCAGACACCCACTTACTCATGGAAGATGTGGGGAAGACTGCGTGGGAGGTGCTGGCCATGAAGTCCGCAATCTGCCGCAAGGCCCAGATGTTGGAGGAATTGTTCCCCTTCTTCATCTGCTCCTGGATAAGGCCTTCCAGCTCCTCCCTGAAAGACTGAAACAGGCCCAGAGGTGCTGGTCCCCCCGCCCCCAGCATCTCACACAGGAAACAGGGACTCATGGCTGTTGAATAATGAGCTCTCCCAAGTGCCCACTTCCAGCCCTGGGTCAGCTAGCCCAGGCCATTTCTGGGCTTCCGGGGCCCCAGAAGCAACTCCATTAGGACCTCAAGAGCCTTCCCAAATTACTGTGCGGGGAGCTAAGAGGTGGTGCCAGGAATGGATCCCATGCATCCTTTTCCCTGTGCATAGTAATCTAGATCCCAGGTCCTTCCTGCATCTGGCTAATGGGCAAGACATGCCTCCCCTCACCCCATCAGACTTGGCAGGATTTCACTTTAGTAATTAAGGGCATTTTAAAAAGCAGAACTAAATGAGAATGCATGCCACCTTCCCTCTCCATTAGGATGCCTATGGCTCCTCTGGGCCTCAGTTTCCTGGTGTACTTAATAAAGAGGCAGGATCTGATGATCCCTGAGGTGGTTTCCACTTTTGATGCCCTTTCTAAGCCTTTCAGAGCACCAGGGCATAAACTGGGCATCTTGCCCACAGGGGATAACAGGAAACACTTGAAAGAAAGAGGGAACTGCTTAAGCCTATAAACACATCAAAAGAAGCAGGATCTTGCAGTCCCCCACCTCCTACCTGGCCCTCAAAACCTAGGCTGGTGCTATCTAACCCTGCCACCCCTATCAGTCACACTCTGGGGATCTTCCCTGGGACTCCTCACCCCAGTGCTTTTAGGGCCCGCTGTTCTCCCCACACAATGCCACTAAGACCTCAGGCTCATTCCCTCTGTGGGGCCTGATCTTTCACTCACAGCCAGGGTGGCACAAGGACTATATTTCCTTCCTGCCTCCTTGAAGCTGGGGCAGACAGGGCGGTTGGGATCACAAGAATAAAGCAGAGCTGAACCCACGGTCCTGGGCCAATATCCCGCTGAGTACTGGGATCCCAGCCCTGTCCCTGGCTTCCCAACCCTTAGTATCCCCTCTGTTCCTGAAGAAGCCCCAGGTTGTACTGCACAGGCTCCCCAACCCCCCTGCACACTGCTCTTTCTCGCCATCCAAGCCTTCCTGGAGAGTGAGTGCCATGGGCGGCCAGGGAAGGCAGGCACCGCGGCCCCAGGACTGGAGAGAGCAGGATGATCCCAACGTGGCCTTGCTTCCTCCACTGCTGTCCCGTGATCCTTTCCCTCTCGGTCCTCCACTCTCCCCACCTCCGGGGCCTTCGGGGTCCCCTCAACCTGCCAATGCATTCAAGCCTTGCTCATGCCACAGTGAGTTCAGTAGAGGGAGCCACCAAGTCTCCGGGGCGCCCTCTGCTGTGGCGCGGGAAAGAAGACTGGAAACAGAATCAGAGGGCAAAGGGCGCTGAGGAGGGTGTCCTGGCCCCCTCCCTCTTTCTGAACCAAGCTGTCTGCACGCGCCCAGCTTTTGCCATCCACTAGTGACCAGGAAGACAACACCACGTGGCAGGCCAGCGTCGTCGCTCCGAGGGCCTAAATTGCCCCCACGCTGAGCAGAGAAAAGAACGAGACTGGTCATCTGGGTCCCCCTCGCCCCTCGCTCCCGCCTCCTTCGCCTGTCCGTGCCCTGGAGCTGGGTGGGACCCACTCACGGGACTCTGCAGGATCATGGTGACGCGCTTCTTCTGCTCCATCAGGTTGAAGTCCTGCCGCAGGTCGGCAGCCCGGTTGCGAAGACGCAGGTACTCCGGGTCCTCTTCAGAGAAGCGGTCATAGTAGGGCTGCCCCTGGGGGTGCGGCGGGGAGGCGGCCTCGGGGAGGGTCTCTTCACTCATTTTCCCGCTAGGGCTGCGATCGATCCGATCGGCTCCTGGAATCCTGCGGAGAAGGGACAGGGGGCGCGGCGGGTTGGTCCTGGAAGGCGGGCCAACGCTTCCTAAGGCGGAAGTTTGGGGAGGGAGGTGGTAGGATTAAGCAGGGGGGGGGGGGGGCTACTAAGCCACACACGGGACGCGGCCGCCCCTCCCCCGTGCCGACCAATAGGGGGCGCTGTGACGGGTCGGGCCCTGTGTTTAACTGGTCACACTGGGGTTGCAGCGGAGTTTCCCAGAGGAAGTGTGACCTGCAACACCTTTTGAGCTTTTCTGCGATGCATTCTTAACACAGCAGAAACTATTTAGTGGAAGTCAGTATTTCATCTCAGTGGCAGGCAGAATAAATCACTTGCTTAGCATGTCCAAGGCCCAGGATTATATTCCCAGCATGGCTATGTAAATTTAAATACATAAACATATAAATAAATGTAAACCCTCTTGCAAGCATCCTCAAAAAATATGGTGGGGGCATTCGCAAACAAGCATCTGTACTAAAGCGTGGGCAACGCTTTGCTCAGTGCCCTGGCCCCTGGAAAGGAACCACTGGTGAATCTGCTTTTTGCAAAATATGGCTTAATGCAGAATCAAATTCTTACCAAATTTAAAAGAAATAAGTGATTTGTATTAGAGAAAAATGTATTTTCCCCAAATCTCACTAAATGTATACTGAGAAACAATTAATAGCATGTAAAGGGAGTGTCTTAACATATTGAGGCCTGAGCCATACAGTGAAGACCATCAAGCCACATCTTTTTTCTACTCAAGCAAGCCTATTTAAATGCACGAATGAAGAACAGAAGAATGTCTTCTGTTGCTATATTGGGGCTCTTCTGAGGAGTCAGGCTGCAATTTCAGCCTTCACTTCCTGACTATGGATCTTGGCTAAGCCAGTCTCCTCTCACCTATCAGCTCTGCTAGACTTTAAGATTGTGGTGCGCACCTCACCATCCTGTGCTTTGCTTGGTGCCTGCTGGCCCTTCCCAAAAAAAGAAGATGCATACTTTGAGTGAACCATAATTAGCTTTTGAACACAAGGAAGTTGAAGAATATTAAAAGGGCTCAGGCTCTGGGATCTCATCCATACTCTGTCACCCCTCTGCTCCTTCTTGGGCTCCCATTGCATGAGGTGAGGGGGTGCCATTTTATTCTCTGGAGAATCCTCCTGATCTCTCATGTCCTGATCTGCACTTGACCTTCGGCTGACCAGTCCCTGACCCCCTCCAGCCTTGCTTCAGCAGTCCCGTGTTCCTCAGCATTAACTTTCATTCCCACTTCATTACAAAGGAGGGCTTGCTGATTCCAGCAGGGGCTATTCTCCCTGTCCCTGAGCTGCCTGTGCCCTCTTCTTCCAGCCTGTCAGGATCCACCCTTTACCATTACAGTCTCTGGGTGGTGTGAGTGGAGGATAAGTGCCATAGATTAGCCCAGAGAAAATAAACGCGAGCGTATCCTATTGACTGGAATACCCAGCTGGCTTGTGGTTGTTGTTTGCATGCTTCCTTCAGGGAAATGTGAAGAGCAAGTTCAAGGGAAGGCACATAGACAGAGTACCTCAAGGGTTTCATGATGGCCTAAACCCATGCCAAGAACAATGCTTCTCAATCATGGTTACACACTGCAATCACCAGAGGAACTTTAAAACCACTGATGCTAGAGATTCTAGTATAATTAGTCTAGAGAGTGACCAGGGAATGAGGATTTTTTTAAAACTCCCTGAGTGATTCTAAAGAACAACCAGAGTTGAAATATTGCAGGTTATATGTTAATGGTTGTAACATGTCATATAATGCTCATTCCAGGAGATGGCTATTTTTAGCAAGCCAAACAAAGATGACATGAAGCCACATGTTTCTAAATTCATGCTATATCATGTCACTTCCCATACCTGTCCAGGACCACTCAAACCAGCCCCTACCATGATGCATTTGATCTGGACATCATATGCCAGCATGACCTGTTTCTGCAAGACTGACAAACTGTAGCCTCTGTTCTTAGTCCTTTCACTAATTCATCATCTCCTTAAGAAAGCCCTTAGCAGGTCTCCCCGCAATCAGTCATGTTGTTGAGATATTTGGCAACAAGAGACAGGGATAAGTGACTAGGAGCGGGAGGAGGAGTCTTCTAGGAGAGGTGACCCACCAAAACAATTCTTGAAAGACTATTTTAAAACAGAGTTGGCAGTTTGATAGAACAACTTAAAGAAATTTAAATCCAAACTCTTTTTTATTCATCTAAATGGAAAAGAATGATTAGATCTGTTAGCAATATTTCTGGTAGAATTTGGTTGGGCTAGAATAAGAGACCTGAAATCTTACCTCGATTCTGTCACGATACCTGCATGAGCTGGGGCAGGTCATCTCCCTTTCTGGGTCTCACTTTGTACATCCCTAAGTGAGGAAGGGACAAGAGGGACCTCTGGGGCTGCCTTCCAGCTCTGATACTATACAGTTTATCCAAACTGAAGACAGATCCATGTAGAGAAGTCAGAAGGCTGGAGGACCTGGGTTTCCCAGCAAGGACTTACTTGCTTCCCCTAAGGCTTGTTCCTCCAGCCAAGAGCTAAAAGAGAAACGTTTGCAAAGATCATACATGAGCAACTGACTGGCCTGTAGCCTCAAGTCAATCCCGTGAGCTTGGGATCAGTTCATATTTCCCCTCCATCACGCTCCCATCCAGCCTCACATCTGGGCCTGGAGAGTGAGAAGAGACTGCCAAGGTCAAATACAAGTGCACTGTACCACAGCCATGCAGATGTGTGGTCAGCACCCAGATTTTCCTGACAAGAAGTGCTGCAAACCAAAAGCCTTCCACTGCATCACCCCACTCAGCCTCACCACTGGTGAGTTCAGTGACTCATCATGGCAAATAATTCTCTTTGGCACTTTCCATGCCCTGAACCTTGGATGTTATTTTTAAAATAGCAACAAGCAACCACACACACACACACACACACACACACAATATGAATACTGGATGTGAACATAAGAGATGTGAGATCCCTGTAATCCTTCCAAGCCCAACAGCTGCTAAACTCTAGAACATGGATTGTTTAAGCCAGCACAGCCTTGTACTGAGCCTTTCTAGCCTGAGTCCTTTCAATGCAGGCAAGCAAAGGTGGTCTCCTTCCCTTTCCTGTAGCGTGGCCACACTTCTCAGGAATGGGGATGTGAAGGCTGTGAAGGAGCTCACTCCTCTCTGAAACATGAGGAACCAAGAAGTCCTGAGCCTGAGAAGAGGAGCCCATGCTGCACGTCCCTGGTCCCTTGCCCTGCTTAGGGCTGTTCCAAGGTGCTCCTGTAGGAATGGTGTAAGCAGACTCCATCATCACGAAAACAGGGGCTTGGGCAGAGCCTTTGGCTTCGTAAATCCAGAGGCAAGAACCAGTGGCATTCTTTTGTCATTCTTCCTTCCCTTCCCACAGTGGATCAAGGGATCCACAAAGGATCAGAATTACATACAGATAGCTTTATGGTCTAAGGTACAGACTCTGGAACTAGAATTGGGTTCAAATCTCAGCTATGTCCATTAGTAGCTGTGTAATCTTGGGCCGGTTAACCTAACTGTTCCTCAGATTCCTCATATTAGATAAAGGTGATAATTTAACTGCTTTAAACAGTGACTGTAAGAACTATCAAAGTTAATGTGCATGTATATGTGAAGTGTTTAAAACAAGAAGTGGAGTATAGAAAGTACTATTAGCTCCTTTGGTCAATGTAGGTGTCATTTAGGGGTCAGAATCATTTTAGCATTAGGAACTTGAGTAATGAAAGACTTGTGAATCAGTGGTAAACAGGTGTACACTAAATAGCTGTAATTATGTACTTTAGTCCAAAAGATTAATTCAGTGATGAGCTGTACTAACAAAGGGAAAACAACTAGGAAAAAACTGAGAATGCCTACTTTCCCAATAATGGGAACATGTCAACCTGGAGATGACAAGGAAGAGGCTAAACAGGAGGAAGAGGATCGGAGACAGTATCTGTTCAGCCAGGTGTAATGGGAAAGAATTAACTGGGTTTTGTTCCCAGTTCCTGGCACAGGTCTTCAAAACCCTTAGAATTTTTTTCAGTATCCAAAAGATAGTAAGAATTATCTTTCGTTATTCACAATGAGCCCCCTTCAACTTGATCTAAGTTTATGCTAATAAGGTAGTTTCAAGGGAGAATCTGGTCAGAAAGATGAAGTGCATGATTAGAAGGTTGGAGCTTCAGCCCGAGGAGGAAGAGAGGCTGGGGACTGAATCCAGTTAAAGGGTGTAATGGTTGATAATCTGTGTCACCTTCAGAGGTTTAAAAGCTTATAACTAACTCAGCAGTTCTACATCCTAGGGTGTAGAGGACATGCCCTAGGACATCTGTTTAGGTGCTAGGATGTTGCAATGGTTAATTCATGTGTCAATTTGAGAAGTTCAGCAGCTTAACTAAGTGACTCAGCAGGGGCCCAGGTCCTCACTTGGTAAACATCCTGAGCCTGTGCAAGAGGAAGGCACAGAGATAATGTGAGTGCTACACCTGCCTTAGGGCAGGTAGCCTGCTTACCATATACAGGAGAAAAATAGGCTTGCTTCCCACCCTTTTCTGGTCCTGTTGCTTTTCTGTCTTCCAAGGCCTTAAATGTTGCCCCACTGCCATGCCACTCTGCTTTGGAGCCAGCTGATCATGGACTAAAACCTCTACAATCTGTGAGCTAAATAAGCTTTTCCTTCCTTAATTTTGGGTGTTAGGTACTTTGTCTCAGCAAAAAGAGAAAAGTAATTAAGACAAATGACAAATAATTTATTCAACTGCGCTTTTGATAAAATAAGCCCCCTGAATGAGATAAACAAAACCCCAAAACTCTGGACACTCAAGCCTTGAGGAGTTTCCTGATTGTGAATACACTGATGCTTGGATAACAATGAACCCAGGCGCCAAGAGGAGAGGACACCGAGCTCTGTGTGTCCCCACTCCCACCTAGACCCTGTCCTATATGACTCTTGAATTTACTGCTTCTGGCTTAGAGTTTTATAATAAAACTATGATTGTAGGTACATCAATTTCTCAGGGCCATTCTAATGAACTGTGGAAACTGAAGAGGAGTTGTAGGAACCCCCAAACTTAAAATAAGTCAGAGAGAAGTACAGGTGGTCTGAAGATCCTATTTGTGGCTCATGTCTGAAGTGGGAACACTCTTGTTGGTGACCTTATCTTTTAACTTGTAGATATTTGGTGGGCCATTTAACTCACACGTACAATTGTTCAACTGAATTGAATTGTCAGACAACAAGTTGGTAACAGAGGATTGGTGGCAGAATAGCACCCAGAAACCTCTATTCGTGATTATTCTATTCCCAGGACCGCTGTATAGCAGGTATTATTGTCCAAAATTTTCATACACAGAAACTTAACTTCAGAGAGGTTAATTAACCTGCCTCAAGATCACACGTACAACAATGGATTCATACAGGTCTGATGTGGCCCCAGGTCCTCATCTTTTTATTCCATTTTTCATCCCCAGGAACAGCTGTGCTGTCTTGTAGGAGAGGGGATTGGCTGATTCCCTAGGCTCTTAGGGACAAGAATTAGGAAGCCAGGTGGTTGCTTCAGACAGGGAGATTTTCCTGAGGGTATAAGGAATGTTCTGACAGCAGGAGCAGCTCCATAGAGAAAGACGGGACACCTGCCTTGTCAGGCAGTGAGTTGTCTCCTGAAGTCACATTGCTGCTGGCTGTAGAGGGCCTTCTGCCCTTGCTGGGGATGAGACAGGGATAGGGGAGGGGGGAACTAGCAAATAGGACCGCAAAGGTCAGACAAAGTTTCTTGCAGCTCTTGAGTAATAAGCAGGCTGGGGTGGGGTGTTCAGGACAATGACCTGAGTGTGTGGAAGCTCATCCCTGTTGGATGGGCCCACTGCAAAGTGTGCATCACCCCCATCACCTCTAAAAGCCCAGGCTACTTACCCGGAGGCTACCCCAGCCTTGTTGAAGGGTCTGTCCTCTCAGCGCTGGGTCTTCACCCTGTATTCCACTCTCAGGGGTGCCAGCTGCATCTACACAACCTCAGCCATCAAGGTGGAAACTGGGAAACGAAACACAAACACAGCAAACATCAGGACGTTGTTTGTGGCACTGTGACCCTCCTCAACCTGACTCATTTCACAAACTGTTGGGGAAATCTTAAAAGTGAAGTTCAAGTAATTGTTTTGAATTTTAGAAAACAACTTGTATCTAGAAAAGGAAAACAAAGCATTGTTATCTTTACCATTGGAATCAAAATTCCTTTTCAACAGGGATGGGGTAGATCCCTCTGCTGAATGCTGGTTGGTGAGGCCTCAGACAAAGAAGCCTGCTCCACAGTGGGAAAAGCAGAATGTGGGAAAAGCCTGCTCCACAGTGGGAAAAGCAGAATGTGGGGTTCTTGCCAGAACCCCAGGATATAATCGCTTCCTGGGATCCCTCCCCCAAATACTTCACAAAGCTTACAGACAGTGCAGCCCCAAAGGTAGAAATAGCCTGAAAAACATTATGCCCTAGGCAAATTGGAGAGACTCTGATTTATACTGGCCATGACTTAGTGAATCCAAAACCACTTCACCTAGAACTCAAGAGAAGAAAGTCCCCAGTTAGTGCCTGGATAAAAGGTCATTGAGTACTTCTGAAGAAGGAATGTATTGTTGTTATTATCTTACAAAGATGGACAATTTACTTCGCAAAAAAATCCTGAAAAATAAGTTCATCAAGGGGCTGGGGATTTAGCTCAGCGGCATAAGCGCCTGCCTTGCAAGCAGGCAGTCGTTAGTTCGATCCCTGGTACCGATAAAAAGGAAAAAGACAAAAAAAAAATAAAAAATAAGTTCATCAAAAGATTAAACATCAAAGTGTTTTAGCACGTGTACAAGAGTGATAGTCTTCCAGAGGTGCAGGGGCTGTGTGACTCAGGACTGGCAGCATTCCTGACTGTCCCCTTGCCACCTGACATAGCTTTAGTATCATCTCCACTCCTGACCTGGTAACTGCCCCTGATAGAACCATTATTAAAGGCAGCTGAGTTAGACAGAAATGTTATAGGCAGTCAGACAGGGCTGGGCCCTCAAAGGAGCCAGTGCAGAAGAAATTTGGAGGAGAGAGATGCCAGACTGTAAGACAAAAGATCAAACAAATATACCCACATCCTAAGGATAAGCATCAGGGATTGATATTATAAATAGGTTTCTATCACCCTGAGGAAGCCAGGAGTCAACATCCCAACTCCCTAGAGGAAGACCCACTGCTCTTTAAGCATGCCAGCTTGCTACATGACTCGCTTCCCCATTTGTCCCCAATTTAATCAATTTTACCTGAGCAGTTAATCTTATTGGTTGGCCATAGTTCTGGCCCGCCTCATGCCCACCTTGCGAATTCCCATTTCCCCCCACTTTAGACCTGCCTCACTTTGTGGTTTTGCTCTATAAAAGTCCCTAGAAAAGACAGAGTCGAAAAAGACAAAAAAAAAAAAAAAAAAAAAAATCAGGGGGCTGGGGATTTAGCTCAGCGGCATAAGCACCTGCCTTGCAAGCAGGCAGTCGTGAGTTCGATCCCTGGTACCGGTAAAAACGAAAAAGACAAAAAAAAAAAAAAAAAAAAAGAAAAGACAGAGTCTTTGGCAACTCACTCAGGACTCCTTTTGTCTCTCTCTTGGACAGAAGTTTTCTTTCTCTCAAAAACCTCTGTTGTTCCTAAAATCCATACTTCAATTTTAGAGAACACAAACTTGGACCAGACATCTAAAGAACTGAGAGTTTCATTCCCCGATAATTGCTCAGGTAAAATCACCATCCAGGGAAAATTGTCCCACCCTTGAGAGACAAGACATGTGGACTTAGATGGTATGACATGTTTGGGAGAGCTACCTGCCCCTAAGGCACAGCCTCCTCCTTCACCCAGCCAGCAGGCCCAGAGCTCAGCATTCAGTCCCTAGAGGTGCTGGAGGCACTGGAATTTGCTTCTAGAGAAAAGCTCTGTGGTTGGCATATTTAGCACTATTCTGCATCCCCCTCCCAGTGGTTTTGTTTTTGCCTAGAACAAACTCACCGCTACCACTGGATACTGCTTCTGACCAGTGCCCACCAATACAGAAGCCTTCCCTTCCGGGGCTAAGTGCAGTGACAGGTTCTACCGCTTTCCCTGAGACCAGTCCTGTACCCAGGCAAGCTGTATTACGTCAAGCACCAGCTTCTTATTTGGTCCAGCACCCAGTCACAGATGGGCCTGGGGCTATAACCAACTAAGATTTCAGTTATTACAGCCTAAGCGATTTTTTTTTTAAAATAGGGTTTCACTGAGTTCAGGCTGGCCTTGAACTCACTATGTAGCTCATGCTGGCTCAAACTCACAGCAATCCTCCTGCCTCAGCCTCCCAAGTGCTGGGATCACAGGCATGTACCACCACGTCAGGTAAGAGCCTAAGCTATTTCTTGTGTGCAATAACAGAATTTATCCGGAAGTGACACGTGCCACTCACGTAGGAAGGCAGGTATCTGTTTCTAGATGAGCAAAACAATACCATGAAGAAAATAACTCCCATCTCAGTCTCTGTGAGTGTGGAAATTCCACTCTGAGGGCTCCATTCCTTTTGTTATGGTGTTATCCACTAATTAAAATGCAGACACCCCTGAAAAGTACCGGGGCAAAGGTATTATTATCAGTAAACCATGACAGCAAACTGTCAAATATCTGGCTGCAGAGTCAGGCTGAGCAGAGCCAGGACAGGCATCAGCAAGTTTTAATGAGGGAAAGGAAAGAAAGAGAGGCCATATGCCGGGGTTACCCAAGAAGGCCCCGGCACTTGGACAGGGCTGGTGCTCTGGGGACTTTGGATGACCTTGGCCTGGAAGAACCCTCAGAGCCTGGCTAGTGGCAGAATCAAGCACAGCATAACCCCAGGATGTGTGCTGAGAACCACCTGCAGGCCTTGGCAGAGCTGACAATCAAGGTGCAGTATGAGTTTTGGTGAGAAAACGATCGTTGGTAGTTCAGAAAGCACCAGGCACAAGGCACCTCACGGCCACCTGCTCTCAGTGTGCTGTCAGCTTGGGCTGTGAAGTGGGAAAAGTCAGGTGAGGGAGTCTAATCTTTGGCTGCCCACTAGACTATGAAGCATTGCCCACCTGCAAATCTCATAGCCGTCTTATAATCAACTTGTGGAAAAGAGCATCTTTTCCATTCCACTTGCAGCCCACAGCAGCAATCTATTCCCTAAGCTCTAAGCAGGTAGACGCCCATCTTAGACATTTCTCTGTGTGCCAGGCTGCCAGAGGGCTGGTGCTGAGGTGGGTGCTGAACTTAAATGCAATTAATGGTGCACAGGAATTTGGGCCAGCTTAACAAAGCAGAACTGGTTGGGGCCTGGGTCGTGGGGGTTAGGAAGGTCTGACTGAGGGAGGCTCGCCATCCAGTGTAATAAGACGAAACCGGAAGCCGCTTGTTTCAGGGTAAAGTGCCAGGTGTTTGTGGAGACATAGTAGCAGGAGCCTGTAAATCACATCCTGCTATAAAAGCATCCTTTTGGTATAGAACCCAGTGGTTGAGCTCCTGCAGTCACTATTCTCTTCTACAGTGAAGCAAAACTCCAGCAACCGATTGCAAGTGTCAGTCCAACTCCACAATGTAACACTGATCATAGGGGACAAAGAGGAAGAAAATGCAAGCAATACACACTGCAGGCTTTGTGGCTCCCCAAAGTTTGTCTTGCTCTCCATTTTCATCTCTTCCCTCCAAGACCTCCTCAGTTCCCCCACTGAGGACACACACCCCACAGGCACCCTTCTCGGGGAGCCTTAGAGCTTCCTCTCAGTATTCCCAGTTGGAATTCTCACGCCTCTGCCCCTCCTCAGCAGACCCTGCTTGGAATGCAGCCCAGTGACAGGGCAGCTCTGGATACAAGTCAGGAAACATACTCCTGTTACAGCACACTTTCTTCCCTGCCTCACTAAGACCAAGCACGCACACCCACTAGAATATGAAATCTCATTTTTTGTGCAACACTTCTTGTGGCTGTAAAAAAAAAAAAGGAGTGTCTATTAGGGGAGTAACACATGCCCAAGTTGCCTGACTTGGTGCTAAAATCTCCCTTGACTCCATACACCTGAGAAGAGGTGAGTGACTCATCATTTGCCACTGCACTGGGGCCTCTAGATGACAACAGACAGTTACATGGCTTGGAATGCACAGCCCAAAGAGAAGTGACCCAGGAAGCCGTCATTTCCTGCTGCCCACCACTGCCCCTCAGTGTCACCAGCCATGCAAAGCCCAGGCCTCAACACACACACACACACACACACACACACACACACGCACGTGCACGCGCGCGCACACACACACACACACACACACACACACGCTCAGCTCTGGGCCAAGACAGCACAGCATTTGCTGCAAGCCTAAGGCTTAGAGTCAGAACCCAAACTCACCAATCCCTGAACAAGACTCCCTCCAAACTGGAGAGGAGGCAGTCATGGCTGTTTGTGTGGCTGCTGCTTTCCAGAATAAATGGAGGCAGTTGGAAGAGAGACAGGACCACACCCTGCCTGGCGTGTTCAGATAAAGGGGAAGGCCATGGCCCTCCGTCGGGGGATCACAGGGAACGCTTATCAACATCTCTTCACGTGCTTCTGAGTTTTCAAAAATTCAGTTTCCTAACAATGTACAAGGGATTTTCAAAGTCTTTCCAGTAAAGGGCCTCAGACCTAGTAGTTGTGGACAATTCTTTTTCTATCTCCATGACCAGGAATTGCATGTTATGGAAAGAATGGATCCTACATGCTTTACTGAGGCAATCAGCCGCATTCCCTCTCAAGGAAAACATAATTATTCATCAAATATCTACTGGTGCCCAGGAGTGAGCAAGAACTAGACATGAGAAGGAAGATGCCTGGATGGAAGGAGACACAGCCCCACTTCTTAGAGACTCATAGTCATGTTTGTTTACAAGAAAAAGAGAAATACAAACAAAACATACACAGATACACATAAATACACATGCAATCAACTGTTAAGGTCAGCACAATATAGGACACTGAGAGTGAAAGCCAGGAGTGATCT